TAAAACATATCTGATTGTAATATACAGGGTGTCTGTAAAAGATCTTTACAAAAACATACCACATATTCCTTAGACCAAAATAAGTCAATTTAAGTAAAATTACCTTAGTAAAAAGTTGCTTCGTTTGGGCTCCAGAGGGCCTTGAAGTTACAATTTTTAAATCGTTTTTCCCATATAAATTTAAAACGGCATATGCGATTTTGCTGAAATTTGGTATATTGGTAGTTTTATGTGGCAAAAAAAATGGTATTAAAATTTTGTCCGATAATAATACATAGGCGTAGAACTTGATTTTTTAAATAATTGCACCTTTAAAAATTCTACGCCAATGGAAGAAAAGGAGTTTGAGTATGAAATTTAGATTGCGCAACTCATTTTCTTTAAAAAATGTACTCTTGATAAGACTCGATTACTCATGGTTTTCGCTAAATTTCTGTTTTAATAATTTAGAGTGTATAGGTTTCACAAAAATATTTATTTACAACATAATATAGAGAGTTTACAAAAATTGTTCAAAATGTTCACCATTTTCACGCATACAAAGATTTATACGTCGAAGAAAATTAAAATGTATCCTTTCCATAACTTCTTCATCACCTCTAAGATTGTTTATTGCATCTTGAATACGTTGCCAGAGTTGTTCCTCATTTTCTACAGATTCCCTGTAAACTGTGGATTTCAGATGTCCCCATAAAAAGTAATCCATCGGTGTTAGGTCTGGGGAACGTGGTGGCCAGTTTACAGGTGCGTCATTACCTCTGCCTATCCATTTGTGTGGATATTGTTCATTAATTGGTTTCTAACGTTTAAAGAAAAATGTGGTGGAGCTCCATCTTGCATAAACCACATATCTCTCCGAACAATTCTGGCAACGTATTTTGTAGAAAATCCAAATAATTTTCTCCAGTTAATCTTCGTGGAAGTATGACAGGACCAACAATGAAATTACCAATTATTCCAGCCCACACATTAATTTTGAATTCGTGGTGAAAATGGTTTACCTTTATTGCATGCGGATTTTCAACGGCATAAACATATTCATTATGGGTATTAGTTATACCTCTTCTTGTAAAACACGCTTCATCGGTAAAGAGAACCTTCTTGACAAAGTTTGGATCTCTTTCTCTTTGCATATTAACAAATCGACAAAAACCCAAACGAATTTGAGGATCATGGACTAATAATTCTTGTACTGGCTTCTTATGGTATGGATATAGCAATTGTTCTCTACGCACTTTATAAACGATATCTTTACTTACTCCTAGTTTCCTTCCAATTCGTCTCGTGCTTAATTCTGGATCTTCTTCAACACGTTCTAAAATGTCTTCAACTTCAGGAATCCTTACAAAACGTTCTTCTCCATTATCAACAGTGTTGGGAGCAAAGGAACCGGTCTCCCGAAGACGTCTCTCAACAGCAGCAAAAGTTGGGTGGCTAGATACACGACGATTTGGAAACCTTTCAGAGTACACCCTGACTTGCCCTGACACTCTCTCGAGCATTTCCTTCACAAAATCCTAACGTCAGTAACATATCGGTATATTCTGCATTGGTATATTGTACAGCCATATTAATAAACCACGCATTTGTTTTTTTAATTATTGAGTCAGACAGACTTTCAATCGTTAACAAGAGATTAGGTGTTAAAACTTGACAATATTTTTATTTAGATGAAACTATGGAAACCAACAATAAATGTTTTTGTATACGTATTGCAGGCAAATAATTAATATTCCTCAAAAAATCGTACATGGCAAGAATCGAGTATTTTTGTTAAAATTCTCGATTAGAGGTGTTGAAGAAGATATGAAAAAAGTACATTCTTATGTTTTTCATCGTATAAAATTTTGTCCGATAATAATACATAGGCGTAGAACTTGATTTTTTAAATAATTGCACCTTTAAAAATTCTACGACAATGGCAAAAGAGGGGTTTGAGTAAGAAATTTGGATTGGGTACTCATTTACTACAAAAAAGTACCCTTGATAACACTCGATTTACTCTCATGGTTTTGACAAAGTTTGTATTTTAATAATTATTGTTTATGTTCTAAAATTACTAAAATGCAAATTTCGTCAAAACCATGAGAGTAATCGAGTCTTATCAGGAGTACCTTTTTTAAAGTAAATGAGTTGCGCAATCTAAATTTCATACTCAAACTCCTTTTCTTCCATTGGCGTAGAATTTTTAAAGGTGCAATTATTTAAAAATCAAGTTCTACACCTATGTATTATTATGGAAAGGATACATTTTAATTTTCTTCGACGTATAAATCTTTGTATGCGTGAAAATGGTGAACATTTTGAAAAATTTTTGTAAACTCTCTATATTGATTATGTTGTAAATAAATATTTTTGTGAAACCTCTACACTCTAAATTATTAAAACAGAAATTTAGCGAAAACCATGAGTAATCGAGTCTTATCAAGACATTTTTTAAAGTAAATGAGTTGCGCAATCTAAATTTCATACTCAAACTCCTTTTCTTCCATTGGCCCAGAATTTTTAAAGGCGCAATTATTTAAAAAACAAGTTCTACGCCTATGTGTTATTATGGAAAGGATACATTTTAATTTTCTTCGACGTATAAATCTTTGTATGCGTGAAAATGGTGAACATTTTGAACAATTTTTGTAAACTCTCTATATTGATTATGTTGTAAATAAATATTTTTGTGAAACCTATACACTCTAAATTATTAAAACAGAAATTTAGCGAAAACCATGAGTAATAGAGTCTTATCAAGACATTTTTTAAAGTAAATGAGTTGCGCAATCTAAATTTCATACTCAAACTCCTTTTCTTCCATTGGCGTAGAATTTTTAAAGGTGCAATTATTTAAAAAATCAAGTTCTACGCCAATGTATTATTATCGGACAAAATTTTAATACCATTTTTTTGCCACATAAAACTCTACCAATATACCAAATTTCAGCAAAATCGCATATGCCGTTTTAAATTTATATGGGAAAAACGATTTAAAAATTGTAACTTCAAGGCCCTCTGGAGCCCAAACGAAGCAACTTTGTACTAATGTAATTTTACTTAAATCGACTTATTTTGGTCTAAGGAATATGTGGTATGTTTTTGTAAAGACCTTTTATATATTATTATAAAACGAGAGTACCTTTTCATTTAACTGATTCACTCATGGTTACCCCAAGAATATTATAAATCCGCTTGAATATAAAAAACAACAGGTATAGAAAATATTTTTTTCAAAAACCTAGTTTATTTAAAAATGCAAAATGTCAACGAGACCGTTTATTGTCCGTTTACAATGGCCTCCTGTATTTTTTCTTTGGCTTCTTGAATCGAGGACATCGGTGGTACAGGGGCGAGTGTTTTGCTAAACTATGGACGCTTTTCTACTCTCAGACAATTAGTTATTGTAAAATACATATTATTTTGTGCTATTGTGGAATATTTTTCGGTTCCTTTATCTCAACTTCGCGCGTTAGAGTTTAGAATATGTATCACTCGTATCTACATGCATTTGTTAAAACTATGAATGAATACTGATTTTGTTTTGGGGATAGAGCAGGACTGGACTGGTCGAAAATGGACGCATGACAATATTATGAAACACATCACATTTCAAAATGTTTATTTATCCTAAAAACTCGTAATATAATTTTTATATGATATATCGCGCGATCTAACCGGGCAGTTACAAAGTTAAAAATATTTTTAATTATTTTCTTTCCGACGAATTTGTAAAAAAAATCCCGGAATCAAATAAATGGTTCTAGAACTCTATGACTGGATGCCATTCTTAATATAATTTTTATTAGTTGTCAAATTAAAACAAATGGATTTGCCATAATTTTGACGAATGTTTTTTAATATATTGTTTCTAAGTCATAAACAAAGTACATAAATTCCCAAATACAAAAGTAACTAAAATAAAGATATATGTTTGTCATTCTATATTATACTCTTCACAGTTTAACAGACCCCTCCCTCAACACCTTAATCCTATTTTCAATCAGATTTTTTTTTAAATCAGTGGACTTCCTCCCCTTATAGTGCTTGATTTTTTGCTAAAAATTTCATGTTGATATCGCTTTTGGTTTTTGATTTCTATTTTTTTTATTTCGACTCTTAATTCCCATTTTATTAAGATTTTTTAAAAACCAATAGGTTATGTGTCCCCTCATAGAGCTTGGTTTTGGATAAAAACTTTCAAGTTGATATCATTTTTCGTTTTTGAGTTATTTTTTTTTTTTAACATTTCTGCCCCCTTTTTGTTTTTGATTTTTTTTTCAGTCTCTTATTTTTAATCAGATTTTTTTCAAAATCAATGGGTTTCTTCCCCTCATAGACCTTGATTTTTTGCTAAAAATTTCATGTTAATATCGCTTTTGGTTTTTGATTTTTTTTTCAGTCTCTTATTTTTAATCAGATTTTTTTTAAATCAATGGACTTCTTCCCTTTATAGAGGTTGATTTTTTTTGCTAAAAATTCATTTTTAGTTTTTGAGTAAAATTTTTTTTTTATAATTTAAACCCCCCTTAACCACTCCATTTTATTCAGATTTTTTTCAGAATCAATAGAATTAATCTCCTTATATAGCTTGATTTTTACTAAAATTTTCGTGTTGATATCTCTTTCGTTTCTGTTTTTTTTTTTCAATCCTTCATTTTCAATTTTGAGTTAGGATTTTTTTTTAATATTTCAACCCCCTAAACCCCACCGTTTTTATTTAAATTTTTTCAAAATCAATACGCTTCGTTCCCTTATAAAGCTTGATTTTCCTGAAATTTTCAATTTGATATTATTTTTCATTTTTGACTTATCGTACGGACAAAAAAACGTGACGTCGGACGGACGAACATTTTTAAAAGTTGTCTAAAATTTGAGGATTGTGATAAAAAACAATTTTAATTTGGACCAATATTAAAAATTTTGATTTCATGAAAGTAAATCTATAATACGGTTGGTTTTTTTTAACTATCCAGTGGGTAAAAATTGATTGTAAAGAAAAAAAAAATAAAAATCTACCTTATATTACACAAGTGATTAACAATGACAATAAATATAACAATTCTAAAAAAGCAATGTATGTATATGTGTTCAAAAATAAGTTAACTCATTTTATTAAGTTTTTGTATCATTTTTTCGGCTTGACTATTTATTCTCATTAAAATCAAATATCCAACTGTTACTGATCCTAGCGTAACAAACATTCCAATAGATTCAAAAATCAACTTTGGGGCAAATATATTCCACACCATAAGATGACGACAATGGATTGTAGCAGCCAACATGCTAGCAAAAACCTAAAAATATTAATTGTACCTTCTGAATGGGAAATTTTTATGGGTAAATGGATCTTCGAAAACACAAACTTACCCTTATTGCATGTCCAGTAATGTATTTGCAAGCTAATGCAAACATGGAGGTCATCATAAGTTTATCTCTTTCAAATAGAACAACTTCTCCGCGAGAGGCATCCAATCTGAGTTCTGGTTTCTTCTCGCAGACAGATGGAATCATTACAAATACTGTAAATGGTGTGATTAATACTAGAGGTAATAACACACCCATAAGGATGTATGAACAAAATGTGTTGATGATGACTAGAGTTGCTGGAATAAAATTATTAGAGAATATGCCGGATGTTCCAATAAACGCTGCGTCCCAATTTATGTTCTGAAATGTAGGTTGATGTCCAGAACCATAAAAAAAATAATGGGATAAGATGATCCAAACTAGTACGGATATATTAGGAACATCAAATAGTTGTTCTAAAAAAAAGACAAAAGATTATAGCTGCTAACCAGAAATATAATACTTATGGAAAAGTGGCGACCTGTTAAATGTCATAAATTTTTGATATGTTGCAGTTCTCAACCTCTTAAGCAATAGTGTCCATGGGATCATTCAAATCCTGTGACTGGTTTTTGAGATACAGGGTGTTAAACTTAAGAAATACCACTTATTTGATAACGGTTATTTCAGGAGAAAGCTAATCGATAATTTTTTGTGCAAAATCTTATTGTAACATTTTTTGGCATTCTACGGATATAAAAAGGGGTCAAAAATTATTTTTCTTTCAGGATGGGCCACATATAAGCATACTAAAAAATAAAATTATTGCTATATTTATCATGTCTAATGATAATTAATACAAAAATAATAGGTGCCATTTATACAGGATGATTCGTTAATATTGACTTAAGTATTAATGTGAAACGCAGTATTTTTAAGGTACTTATGTACGTATGTATTCACCATCTAGTAATAATTAATTTTCTTTTATAAGTATACATTTTTGGCAGATAAACAATTTAAAACAATATCCAAAATATGTCATTCAATAGAACAACTATTAATATATTTAATAAATTACCCTCTAGTTCATGAAAGTGATAGTTATAAATAGGTTAATTACTTGTACAATAATACACTACTTATTATTTTGTATTAGGCATAGTAGTGCTGTTACAGCCAATATGTGGCAACTATGATATCCCTGCTATCGCTCTCTAGCTTTGTGCCACATTCGGTTCGGCTATCCCACCACCATATCTTCTAATTCTAGTCGTCGACGATAATTGGCTGTTGTCCTGCTATCATTTTATTAACTTGTATGCTAGTCGTATGTCTAACACGAAACAATAAGTACTGTATAACTATTGTAGATACAAACATATAGCAGACACTTAAAAATATTGAGTATCACATTAAAACATATTGGTCTACGTTGATCTCTACTTGTTATGACATTAAAAACGATAAATCTACCAATAATTAATTTTTCGGGAAATATGTTCATCCTATAGATAGACCAATGAAAGAAATTATCAAAAACATATATTTTCTTATTTGCGACTTATTGTATAGATGAACATATTTTTTATCCCTGTGTACATTCGTCGAATGCCAAAAGATGTTACAATAAAATTTGCCACAAAAAATTGCAATTTGCTTTTTCCTGGAATAAGAGGTAACAAAAAGTGGGTATTTCTTAAGTCAAATCCGGTATCTGAAAAACCTATTATATTAAAAAATTTTGGGACTTTATTTTCTACCAAATGGTTGATAAACCAGTAAAGAAACATCTTTATAGGACTAAAAGTTCAGGGTGATTTATCAAATTTTGTATGTATTCAATAAATTTAATAGTTCTACATATGTTAATATTAAAGATTAAAATAGTAATAGTTATCAATGTACTTTACTAGTATTTTTTTCAGAAAATTACGTTTAAGTCACAATTACGCCCCCTAGCGGCCATTCTACAAACTTGAAAATAATTTACAACAATTTTTCTTGACCGTTTTTATTAAAAATATTTTCGTTATATGACGGTGCGAGCACGTAGAGATCAGGTAACGGGCGTGTATCGTACAACGTTTTATGATATATTGCAATTTACGTTAATTTACCTTAATTCAAATTAAATTTATTTGACACCATTATTACAAGTTTTCTAATGTGACTTAAAATAATGACAGTTGTCATTTTTAAAAAATTTACCGGGCTAGCCCGTTATGACTTCCTTAACAACCATAAACAGAGGTTGTTTACCACGGTATAACATTGTAGTATATCATAAAATATATTACTTTTGAAGTTCTTGTAGCACATAAGGATATGTGGCCATTTAGTTTATTTAGTTTGGCAATAATGGCATACCCCTAAGCCCTTTAGTAAGTACAAGAGACGTTAAAATGTTATAAGGTTAGTTTAGGATTTCTATGTGATTAAAGATGGTGAATTGCGGGATTCGGCGATTTCAAGCAATCAGTTTAGGTATCGTGAGAAAAACGGCATTGAATAACACTTTAATTTAGCAACAAGGTTGCTCAATACTACAAACTGAATATTAAACTTTAGAAAATAACACAAATCGAGAGACGTAGAGTGAATAATAATTTAAACTTGAAAAAACATAAATCAATTAAGGTAGTTCACTCGCGACAGTCGAACATAAAAATATCGCATAATGGTGAATACCAAAAGTTCGAGATTCTCAATGCTAAACAATTTTATTTTTGTAAGAGACTGTACAAAACACATGTAAGCTTATATAAATGGATATGTTATAATTTCAAATAAAATCCATCTGGCAACGTCGCAAATATATTAATAGTGTGCTGTAAAAATTTGTGACTTCCTGATACTAATTTTAAGGGGTTTGTTTTGGTTCAAACAGAACCACTGATTCCAGTTCTCAAATACAGTGGACTAATTAATTTTTCAAGAACACGTCGCGATTATAACAACCTCTTAGCTGATCGAGTGTTATTTTGTTACCACGTGTTAAGTGTAGCGATTAAAATGTTGCCAAGTTGTAATCATTTTACGCAACTACGCCTCGACTGCTTTAAAAATATTTTTATTTTAAAAATCTATCTTTTTACTAAAACGGTCAAAAATTCAGCATTTTTTTAGAAAATTTTATAACTTCTTGATTTACATTACATTAGTTTTTAAAAAATATGGTAAGAACCGTTTTCGAGATATCTTGAAATAAATGCATTGCTTGCGTACATGACAGGCTTCAAGAGTGTTAATTATGCACACTTTGATTGTTAATATCTCGTTTCACAGACGGTCAAAAAATTCAGTTACGTAAAAGACACTTTCATTAGCCTTATATTTCAATTTTATCGAATTCTTAAGAAAAGACGTTTAATGAGTGAACTACCTTAATGGCGTTGGCGATTCTGTCTCTCTACTTGACGATTTCTTCAGTATGTGGCGCTTCTGTATGTCACTGCACAGGACTCACAGGAGCGGCTCAAAGAGTATATATATATTTTTTTTATGTTCTGAGGGAGGGCTATTTTTCTTAGTTCATCTGATGCGGAATTTTTAAGCTATCTGGATTAAAAAGTATTTTTTTTTACTTTCCTCTCTGAATACAGATAAGGAAAGTATAGGAATCATAATTTTTTCGACCTCGAGTTTTCGACGGATTTTTAGGTTCTGGGGACCGCTGAATCCGTTTTGAGTATTTTGGAGAAGCAAATCCTATACATCATTTTCCTAAAATTTGACAAAAAGTGCTAAATTCGAAATTTTAAGCAAATTGTTCAAATAAAAGTTGTTTGTGATGTCATTCTCTATCAATCTTGTCCTATATATAATTTCTCTACAATGGACCGTAATCGAGATATTTAAAAAAACGGCAAAATTTAAATGTAAGCTTTAATTCATCCCGCGGTGAACTGAAATTTTGTTTGGGCTTAATCTGGAGGGTAATTTATAGAAGGTCGGTTTTTTATTTTATGGAATATATCTGTTATTTACGCTCGAAGAAGAAAATTCTTCAAATAAAGTTACCGTCATGAAATTCATAAACCGACCCTGTGTATAAAGCAAGCGCGACCTTCAGCTGGCACCCGACTCATGCTCGAGGCGACGGACCGTTCAGGAATGCCGCTGACGCACTAGAAATGGCTAGAACGGAAATGGAGAGTGCCGTTGAGTCAGAGATGGAATTTTCGGGACCGTCTAGAGTATTCTGGTTGGCTTGATATAAATATCGCGAGTTTGAAGACGGCAGTCAGTTGATTATAGACAGTTTTATTTAGAGCATTGTAATGAAAAGTTAAAGTGTAATCAATAAATTAGAATTGTTAGTGTCTAAGTATTATATAAATTAATTAGTACGTCTGAAATAAATTGTAAATAGTGTTATAAATAAATAAACTATAAATAAATTAGACTATCGTCACATTACTAGTAATGTTATTCTATATAATTTTTGTACTATACATGATTTCTCTAAAAGGGAAAAATTTGAGAAGTAAAATTTTAATTTTTTTTTATATTTTCGTCGGCAATGAATACATAAAAATATTTTTCGAGTAAATATGTGTGGAAAATGTATGTATTTCATTTTCTAAACATTTACAGGGGTGATACAATGGGTTGTACAAGATAAACAGAAAAGTCTGTAATAACTAGACAGGTAAGTCATGTGTTGGACACATCAAAATTTTTTGAGATACAAAATTTTTACCGCTTTTTGGCGTAGGAGGGCAATATTATTAATTTCACGCTTGATTATGCATTTCCAAATGATGAAGAACTTTTTATTAAGAATATATTTTTTTTAATGTAAGATAAACTTTTTTCCAATTTGTATAAAACTTTTTTTGGAACACACTGTATATTAATTAATTGAAGGCAAAGGTTGTTCTAGATCAGTTAGCACTTTTCACTTTAATAGAAGGGTTATTGACGTTCCGTCCCAATGGATTTTAGAATAGTATTTCAAAAAGAGCAACAACGTATAAATAAATAACCCAGATCTACTTAGTGAATATATCTATTTTTCTATTTAATTTAGAAGCAGTTATTTTTAAAAACAAAAAAGTTCAGGAATAAATTGCAGACCCTGTTAAGCTAGTAATAGGTCGAAGGTACCAATCCTGCTGGCAGCTGACTTTTTATCTGGTTTCTTTTCACCTTTCGGGGGACTGAAATTTATTTCTGAACTTCTTTAATTTTGTATTTGTTTTGGCAATTAAATCGACAAAATCTCATTCGATACAATTTTGAGTTTGTTTCTTCATTCACTTATTTTTAATTCCTGAAAATAAAAGTACTGAAAAATATAGATTACCTATGTTTGTTGCTTTCTCAATACGCAGCACAGATGTCACAATTAAGATAAACGCAGCTGTCAGGAACATAATAACAGCAGATGGAGCTACTGCATCTCCCAAAAGGAGAGCAAACAATAATGTGAGGTATACTCCTATTGTAATAAAGGCTGCACTATACAGTGTTCCCATTCCATAAACGATGGGAATATCTTCATTTCGTTTTTCTCTTTCCGAAATATTATTTTTAATTCTTTTATACAACGAGGGGATACTAGTAGCTTCTTGGGACTGATTTGGTAAAACGTATGCATATAGTGGTTTTAGTATACAAACGAATAATCCTATAGCTGTTAACAAGTAAACAGCCAAGGGTAAAGAATTAAGGGAATTTAAAGAATTTATAGGCTTTTTATTAGAAGAAACCCGTTTCATAGCCCAATATCCAGAAATACAAACTACAATTGTAGTAGGCAGAAATTTGGCTACTATTATAGTTAAAGCATATCCATTCATATTACCGGCATTTCTTAACCACTCCTTGGTAGAAAAAACGAACATTCCTAAGAAAATAACAGTAACAGCCCATTGCAGCTTTGTTGTTTCTGCTTTAGAAATATTACTACCTATGAGATGTAAACCAAAACACCACTGTTGTTCTTGCCTACACTTCCAAAAGTAAGCGGAACCTCTAACAAAAATAGCTACAAAAATAGCTAATATTATAAACTTCAATTTAGACCAACTCCAAAATTTTGAAACGATTTGTTTTTTCTTGATATCAACTTTTTTAGAAGTTATACCTAATGAGCCTATCAAAACGACAGTTACCAGTAAAAAAAGAAGAACAAAGGATTCTTCTATTATATAACTATTTGAAAACAGACCTCCAAGGTTAAAAACTAAGACAAATCTACATATCAAATTCGATAGGCCTTCAGCTTTTCTTCTTGAATACCAATTCAAAGTTATAACGTCCCAGTTTTGAACAACCAACAGAGCAAGCATAACCTGAGATGCAAATCCTGTAAAAAAGAAAACAGTTTTTAGTAATTCATCAGTCATTTCTAAATAATATATCAAAACAGAAGCCAGAGCAGCAATAGCCAATATTATGTAACTACATAAAATAAAAGAGCTGGAAAATACTTTTGACAGTTTGTCAGAAGGCATTCCATCTGCTATCACAAATACGAAAAATGACGTAAGAAATATGAATAGAAGACCCCTAATCATAGAATATGAATCAAATTGGATCCACACTGCTTCACACAATTCACGTAAGCTTTTCAAAAAAATTACTACATCTTCTGTGAACGCCTTAAATTTCTCCTCGGTGTCAATAGAAATAATCTTAGCATTCATTATGGAGAATTTTTGCTGAAAAGTTTTTAATTCTTCTTTGTCGAAAGTCCCCTCATTTTCTGCATATTCTTTGATGTAATCAAATACTTGCTGGACATTGGCCCACAAGGAGTATAAAGTAAACTGCCAATTGCTTAACCCCGCATTTTTAGTAACAATTGGAAGAGTGTCTAACATAAGAGTCCCTAAGTTTTGAAAAGGTATTGGAACACCTAAAAGCGAACATAATGTTGGGACCAAATCAACTTGTTTTACAGAATCAGTTGTAATTTTAAAATTTGCTAGTGGTTGATTAGAATAAACGAACATAGCTGATGTCACTTCATCCAAACTCTCTCCACCGTGGTCTCCTACAACAAAATAGAACTCAATTATATGAAACTAATTTAATAGATATTAATTTAGTACCTGTTGCTGTCATCCCGTGATCCCCTATTACAAAAAGCATCATGTTTTCTGTTTGGTTAATTTTTTTAATGACATTGCTAAAATGAAAATTATGGAAATCAGAAAATTCATATAATATAAAACTCTTTTTCTATTCAACAAGTATGATCTCTGATCCAACATACTTACTGTATAACATCATTCATTTCACCCAATTTCCTTTCCATTTCCAGATGATTTGGTCCATATCTATGCCCACAATGATCAACGCCCAAAAAGTGGCCAATTAGCAAACTCCAGTCACTATTGCCAAGTTCTGGATATAAATTTTCTCTAACTCCATTATCTACTGTATCCAAATCCCAAACATTGAAAGATGGATAAGGAAAATTTCTTTTAAAACGATTTGGATACAAACCATTCCATGTATCATCCCCCATAAAAACTACGCCGTGATTATGCCTTAAAAGCTAAAAATAAATCAATTGCTTCTATCAAATTTTGTTAAATATTAAATCTTTATACCAGATGCACCATACAGAGGTGAAGTTTGGTGGTAGAGATATTTTTAAAACAGAGATGAATTTTTGGTCTAAAATTGCAGAAAATCTTAATAACAAAATTTGGAAAAACAGAATTGGGGAAATTATAGATCAGGATGTCCATTCAGAAGTTTAAATGTTGCGAGGTACAGAAAAAGTTGGGTTGACGAAATTGGATAGGAAATGAAGGCGAGGGGTTTAAAAGAAGAGCAGAAATGACAGAATAAAATAGAGATAGGTATTGGAAACTAATAATTATAAATTAAAAGTAAATATAAAAATTAATTTATCACACCATAAATATATCTATGGACCTGTACAAACCTTAAATACGTACAAAAGTTAATAGGTTAGTTTGAGAGGGGGAGTATAGGGGAAATTTAAATGCATTAAAACATTAATTATGTGGGGTAGCAAAAAAGTCTAGGAACAAGGTTTTTTTTTAAACAAATGATGAATGGAACTGTATTACATTATTATTGTTTTTTCTGATCCTATACATTCAGGGTAGTGAAAAAGTCTATTTTAGTATTCTTGAAAAGAGGAAAACATAAGCTTTTCTGATATATTGACCTATATTCTATTAAAAAAAAATAAAGATAGAGTCTGTTCGCTAAACACCGACAATCCCATTCATCATTAATAATTTCAAAGAAAACACCTTATTGCCAGAATTTTTGGCTAAATAAATAAATTTCCAATGCATGTCATCCATAAAGTTTGTTATTAGTGACATGCATCAGAAATGTATTCATTACTCAAACATTTTCTTGTACTGTTTATCTAATATTATATTTAGATTTAACTATTTATTAAACCAACCTATGGTATAACCAGTTACAGTTGATGCAAATTTGGCATTAATTAAAGCCATTAATGTAAAAGTTTTGTCTTTGGACACCGCAAATTATAAGGAGCAGTTCATGTATTCATGAAGTTGGGCATATAATAATTATAAGGACAAGAAAGAGAGATAAGATATCAAAGACTTAACTCTTTGAATGCCCACAAAGACACACTGTCGGTCAATTCAGCTTATATGCAGAGCCCATCACCGACAGGTAGAAATTTTTAAACAGACTAGATTAGGAGTATAATTTATTGTTCATAGTAATTTTCAGACGATTGTTTATTAATAGATCATTGTCTGAGAAGGTTTCAAAGTTATTGATTTTGTATTATTTGATATGTGACATTTTGGGGATAATTTTTGAACCCTTCGTTTTTGTGCATAGTAAGGGTATGTAGGTCTTTATTTATATTTATTTCTTTTTTTCATTGTTATTATGTGTTACATATATTGTATTAAATTATAACCCTAGTTTGACGATTTGTTTTCACAGGAAATTGTAGTTATTACCTACACAATATTTCCCTACAAATACTTATGTATTTATAATAATAAAATAATACTCTCTTTATAATTCACCTCCTTACGAGTTAATTTTAACCCCAAAAACTGACTGACCTTGTCCAGGGAAGGGGCAACTATTATTATTAATTGCTGTAGTGCTCCAGAGCAAGTTACAGATGATTGATGATGCCATTTGACTAACAGGTAACGTATTTTGTTTTATGATATGGATGTCATATCAACAGAAATTAAATTATTGCTAATATGCATAGAAATAGTATATAAAGCCAATTCCATATATCAAAAATGAAACCATAAGGAGAAAATAGTGTGTCGGAGCTCATGCGTATAACAGTGCTGGCTCGAACAGGACCGGTGCAAGTTTTTTATTGATTGAACAAATACTTCGCACAATGTTTCAGTCATACATTTTTAGAGATGATTCTATATAAAAAACGATGATAAAAATTCAAGTAAGGTAAATATGGTTCTGAAAGTACTTATTAAGTAAGATATGGCATAAAATATTAATTAGTTAATTTTCGGCAATCATAGTGCTATAGTCAGGAGATTTTGCTTGTGATCTGACATCTTATTTGATTTAAGTATCATTTGCTACAAGTAAATTTAATTTGAGGAGTGTAAAAAAATAGGGGCAATTGCGTTTCACCCAGGAATATTATGGTCGATATTTTTTTACATTTTGTCAGCCGAGACTATGAGTCGTTACTTACAATTAGACAGAAAACCTTTCATGTTACCATTTTCCATATAAATTATCCAAAGATGTCTGCATCTCTCAAGATTTAAAATTAAAAAATACTACTACATTTACTTGGTACATATTTTATTTTAATTTTGAACCCTTTTAAAAGGGTTTTTCGGTTCCATAATAAAAGTTAGTCGCTGCTTACTAGAAATATTCTATCTAAACCAATTTATGGATTGTTTTCGATCAATTTAATACAAAGATTTAAAGTTTTTAGTCCATGATAACATTCCACATCAGCACATTGCAAACCTATTTTATAGATAATAAGAATAAACTTGTAAATCATTAATTTGGTAGTTATCTCACTTGTAATGATTTTTTTGTTTATATGACTCTTTTGATTTCTAATTATATTTTGGCCTTACAATACGAAGCGTTTTGTATCTAACACTTTTTTTATTGAACGATGAATGTTGACAGGCGTGTACGTTTTTTGGAATAAGAGGCGACGGAAATGATTTTCGAACTATCCAGTTAGTTTTCGGAAAACTATAAAACCTTTGAAGATAGTCGTCAATAACATTAGCGTGTCGTTCATGTGTTTTATTTTGATTGAATTCAAAATCGAGATTCTCGATATTTACACAGTTTATTTATAATACTTTTTAAACTGGCTTTATCATTTTATATACTTTATAATATATGTTTAGGCCCTACTTTGCACTTCATTAACAATTTTTTTTACCATACTTCAAAATGGGAGGATATTCGCAATTCATTGAAATGTTTTTTTGTGTATGTTGATAATTATTTACCACGTTGCCCGATTTCTATGATTTTCTTTTTGTTAGAAAAGGAATAGTTCTATATACCTGCTTACAACCGACAAAGATAATAAAAAATACATTTAGTTAAGATCTGAAGGTGGGACCCATGAGAAAATTATTAACATCTTCATTTTTAAAGTAGGTTTTTAAAATTTCTTTAAACCGTACTGGTTCGCACGCGGTAAGGAATGAAGAAATAATTGTTGTGCCAGCCAAAAAACGAAGAGGAAGTAACGATTAAAATATCGAGTGACAGAAGAGTTTCTAAGTTCATTGAGATCGGGTTTATGTTTTAAAATGCCCTGCTAGGGTTCATTTTAAAATACTTCATTTTACAATAACGGAAATAAAAGAACTGTCAGAATGTTTTAGATGGAAAGATCATAGTCTGTTTACTATATTTAACAATTTTCAACAAAAAATCATTCATTGTTTTGTCAGATACCGATAATGTCTCCTCGACGCTGGGAAGCCTGTATACAGGGTGAGTCGGGAGGAGCGCACCAAACTCTAGGAGTATATTATACACGTGAAAATAATGTAAAAAAAACTCATATGTTCTTATCCGATTTTCATTTGTTTTCAAGTTATAGCATATTAACAAATAAACAAATTTACACATAAAAATTCTCTTATTCTAAATTTGATAAGTATCTGGCATTTTGCAACACTAACAATCACATAAATTCGAAATTAAACGTTCAGTTACTGTTCACTGTACACTGACAGTTCATCAAAACGTCAGAATTATCAAATGCCTTTGAGTCTTGAACATATGGCATACTTTGATAATGTTAAAATTCAGAAGTGGAAAGCTAGATGAACATTTTTAATTACTTGAAAACAAATGAAAATCGGATAAGAACATATGAGTTTTTTTACATTATTTTCACGTGTATAATATACTCCTAGAGTTTGGAGCGCTCCTGCCAACACCCTGTATAAATACACAGTTCTCTATTTACATATTTATAATTCTTAGGTAGGTTTAGATTTCCAGACATAAATCTTGTAATAAATATAACAGCTGCTAAATACATTGATTACATTTTCATTAGCCAATGTAAAATGTCTTTTATTGTACCTAGGATTTAACTTAACACTACACAAAACTAAAAATAAAATGCCACTTTCATTGTGTAATTAAATAATAAAACACAAATTCAAGCTAAAATATCACAAACGGTCCTGTAAGGGCAGCATCATATAGCCTTGAAACACCGGATTAAAGTGGTGTTGCCAGGTTATTATTGAATTTGTAGGTGAATTGCTTGTTGAACATTAATACTATTCGTAGATATAAACTGTTTAAATCATATAATTTAAAAATAAATTAATTTGAAATTATTTTGTGTTAGGTATGTTTAATATACTTGGCAACACTACAGGGACAAGTCATGCATACTGTGCATGCTTCTAGACACACTATTTTGCGATGCCAGGCGCAGAGACCCGTTTTTATGTACAGTAGGTTTCAATTTCGGCTTAAATGTTACATTTATATCGGTCTTCTATATTATTTCTATGCTAATATGGCATCTATCAAATCCTATATCGAATGTAAATTAATTAAATATTCACATGTTTACTGAATTGCACTGCAGTTATCAAATCATTATTTTTATGTATGGAATTTCAGCCTTCCACCCCTAGAAATCCTTCTTAAAAACACTGTTTTTCAAAAATAAAAGAATCATCATCTTCCGATGAGGAAAATGTCGACCGAAATATGATGCTTTCACTAAATAGTGATAATCAAACTGAAATAAAACAATCTGATCATGAAATAAGCTTAGTTGAAAATTCAGAAGAATTGTAAAATAGTGATATGGAGAACAATTAATCGGAAGAAAAAAGGAAATATTTCCAAACTCAAATGTGACCCAGATGTTAAATAAAATAAATAAAACTCAAAGCCATTAGTCACAATAATACTAGCGGCTGTTTCTCTTTTGATAACAACTACTCATTCTAATACCTTACCAGGTATTCAATTACACTAAAGGAAAAAAGCACAGATAGAAAATATTTACAACACTCTACCTTTGATTTTCAGAAGACAATGAACAGCCACTAGATTTACTTGGTAATGCTTGGTTTGATCTAGGACCTAATATTCCAGAAATTCTATTTACTGGAAATTCTGGTCTGAAAATAAACATGGTAGAACAAAACCCCATCAAGTTTGTTAATTTGTTTTTCACTGCTGGTCTATATGATTTGATTTTGAGGAATACAATTTTTTTACAAGGATCAATAGAAAATCATGAATATCACAATGGTGTAAGCTTCCTACAGAAGAATTAAAAAAAACGACTGATTTTTCATATAGGCACAGTCAGATTAAATAGAATATCTGATTATTGAGAGACAACACCCTTATTTAATATTTCTATCTTTTAACAATGTCCAGAAACAGGTTTCAACTGATTTGTGTAATATCCAAAACCTGAAGAAAATGAAATTCCTCCAAATTACTAAGTATAAAATAAATACCTAGTTTTAAGTTTTTTTTTCTTCAGTAATAAGATGGACTAGATTCATTATCTTTCACAAAATGTCCAAGCAAGAAGAGGAAATATACAATTGAAGCCTCGTCTAATAGTTGAATACACAACAAAATTATGAGTCGATGGAAAAGACCAAATTCAAGCCTAGATCATACAACTCTCCAGTGGTGCAAAAAACTCAGCATTCATATTTTACAAGTCCTTCAACAACCACACACTTTACAGCACTAATAGTCAAAATAAAATGCCCTTGTATCATTTCCTTTTACCAAAATCATTTTCCCACCCAATCTGAAAGAAATAATGAAAATAGACTGAACATCGAAGGTGAAAAAATTGTTTTTAAATCAACAAGTTGGGTAAGATTCTCAATTTTATTGCACAGCTTGTGATGATCAACCTAGATTTTGTCTTTCACTTCATTTCTGGGAATATTATCAGAACAACAATTTATTTTAAACTGTATTTAGTTTCAACAGAATAAAATATCAACAATAACGATCTATATTATTTTCTTTTATATCATTCCTTGTAATTACAAGATCCTGCATTAATGACAAGGACATCATAGTTAGGCATTTGGAATAAGTCCCAGAATAAGTGTATCACAGGCATAAATGCTCAATTACAGTGGGCATTAAAAAAGTTAAACCATGGATATATTATTATTGATTACTTATTTAAATGATAGATATTTACAGTTCATGTTCATTTTTTATTTTGTAACATTAAATATTGTTTTTTAATTTTTTTTAGAAGTAGCTTTTAAAGATATTCATGATCATCTCCATAAATTTTAGCCACAGAGTGTCTTAATATTTGACCTAGATTTTTATCTAAGATAATTACAAATTTATATAGCAATTAAATCTGTTTATAATCAACACTTACAGCTTAACATCTAAATATTATATTTTATTGGCTTATTTACTTAATTTTATTAGGGTAGAGAATTTTATTTACATAACATATTTAACTATTTCCATTTTAATTTATGTATAAATGGTTTACACCAAAATTGTACAGTTTATAAAGCACCAATATAAAACTAAAATGAAAAAAGAATAATGCCTCAAAGTATTACAAGCAGAAACAAAAATATATTGTGCTAATTTTTTTTATTATTTCAAAGATTTGTATTTTGCATGCCGAGTATCCAAATCATTCCAAAACCCCTACATTATTTTATGTTCTAAAGAATAAAATTATTGATTTAAATTCTTACTTGATCTATTAAGTTGTCTTCGTTTATTTCAGATGTTGCAAAATTTGAACCAGCGTCAATGAAAGTTGGTAGACTGCCTGTAGTTAAACCTTTTAATCTTTGCATTGTAGTTGTTGGTGGGTCAGCAATAAATTTATATAACCTACTATGATTGGGATATTCTTTTAGCATATTTTTCATAATTGGTAATTTATTTTGAAACGGCAGTGGATTTGTATTCTCGTCATCATAGACGGTAAAATCATAACGTAATGCATCTACAATAAGTAACACAACTCTTGTTCTAGATGGCAAACATATAGATGAGGCACTATGGTATTTGGTGAGTATTGACCTTAACTTGTCTTCAAACGAGCATTGTTCCCCATTATTAAAATTGGAATGGTAACCCAAACTCTCAGTACAAGGTACTTCACTATGTGATAGGCATGTTGAATTCTTTCTTTGAACAGTCCGTGATAACAGAAATCCTTTCGTAAAAAGAATAACTGAAGTTCCAATTAAATAACTTAGCCATACGAGAAATAAAAAATATAAATAAGAATTATTTCCCATTGCCCATTTCACCATCGACAACACTAAAGATAAATAGGATAAACCAAAACCTAGATAACCATAACAAATACTGTCAGGTTATGTTTCTTCTTTCTTGTATAACTTCTCTCTTTTAGGTTATGTTTTCTTCTTTTTATTTTTGTCGTACCTTTATTATAATGCCAATTTAGCAATTTGTGGCTATTTCTAATTAAAAACTGTTTTTTAAATATCTGCTTAAAATGTAAAAAGTTCTCAAACTTGAGGTTCAAACACATTCTAATATGTGTTTTTTAATTTAACACATTTAACAGTTTCATCATAATATGCAGGATGCGGGGGTGTTAATTTCGAAGTTTTATCACTGATATATTGAATTAACTTTTTCCTTTTTATATTATTTTGACTAAAATTAAATAGGTTCGGAAAGTTATAGTTCAGTGATACGGAACAGAAAATCATGTTTCATTAGCTATTAATTTTTTTTATAATAAAATGCATATGTCAAGAATAGGCGAGGAGGGTTACGAAAAAAGAATTAGAAATCAAGATTAGTCAACAGTCAACCAACGAACCAACCGAGTAAAAGATCACAACAAATTGTACTTTTTTATTTGATGGTTTTTGAAACGTTTGATAAAAGAATATTAATTTATAATTTTAAAATAGTATAGACGTAATTTAAGCTTATAATAATTGTTGTAAAATGACCGGAAAAACTGAAAGCAGTACTGTAGTTGCTCCTACGGTTCAACAAATAATCGCCGATAGAATTACAGAGGTATTTTGATCTAACCTAAAAATTTATATTATATTTAATAAAACTATTATATTATAGCTGGCTGAAAAATATTGGGCTCCTCATTCTATTGACAAGCATTTAGAGTTTAATCCAGATGTTATTGAAGATATATACATGCAGGATATTCGCGGTAGCAAGTAAATGAGTGCCTGTTACATTGAACTTCATTTTTCATTCTTTTCTTTTTTTGCAGCTTTTCAATTAGAAGAATCATGATTCTTGAATTTAGTCAGTATTTAGAAAATTATTTATGGCCTAACTATAGTCCAAAAGCATCTTATTCTCATATGTTGTCCATTGTTATCATGGTTAATGAGAAGTTTAGAGAACGAGTACAGGTTTGGCAGGTAATCATTTCGTTTAATACTGGTTTAAGTCATATCCTTTCAGTATATATGTAGAGTTCGATTACAATAAGAACACCGTTACATCATAACCATTACTTCGAATTTCAAATGCATAATATATAACTGCTAAAATGCAAAATTAATAACTCTACAGGATAGTCATGTGTTGTTGTGTTGAACGCATCAGATATTTTTCCTTAGAAAACATTCATAAAATTAAAACACAAATAAAAAATAAAAATATATTTGCAAAGAATATTAATGTTTTAAATCTTTTAGTATAAAAAAATTATTCAGCAATAAGTACCAAATGGTTAAGAGATGCACTATAATAGAAATATCAATACTTTTAATGCTTCTTATATATTTATGAGTCACTCTGTAAAATGTGTTGCTAATGGCTGCTTGTTTTATTAGGCTTTCAGAAAACACAGTGAATACTTCCCCAATTTTTTTCAACAAGTATTGAAAGCATGTTTTGAAGATGAACTTTTAATAAATATAAGAGAACAAACTGCACTTTTGGTGTTTTTAAATCATTGCTTCAATAGTATGGAAGAAGCAATATGCCGTGATCAGGTCAAAAGACTAGTTTCCCTGTCGATGTGGGTATCTCTTCAGCCTGCTAGACGTGAATATGAGTTTAAAAAGTATCCAAAATGGAAGAAATATTGGAGAGCAATCCAAAGAAAAGATAAACCAGACCAACTAGAAAAACTTACTTGGGAAAGAACATTCTTACATCGCTTAATGCTAAAGTTCATGGAAATCTTAGATAGTATAAGAGAGGATGGAATTTGTCCTAATGATAGGGTAAGTCACCAAATATTTAGGCAGCAATTTAATGTCAGGAATGAGCGAAGAATGCTGACAGAATTGCTGGTCACTGAAAAAGTCCTCTTGTCTATAACCTCCGAAAATGTCTTCAAATTTTGGAAGCAATGACATATGACAGCATTCTTCACACATCAAATTACTAATGCCTAGAAATCCGTTTTGAAATGAACATATCAATATGACAGGTTGAATGTTGATGAATCTTAAAAGAGGGATAGGGTTTTTTATTTGCCAAACACTCTCAGGAGTGGTTTGTATTAAATTTGTTTCCTACAAAATAATTTTTGGCCATCAACATGTATTATATCTCTTCTGATTTCAACTATTATTTTCTTTGATTAGAATATATTTTAAGAATCTGTTTTTTAGGTTCACTATTGTGAAAGATTTTTGGAGCTGATAACAGATTTAGAAGCATTACTTCCTACTAGAAGATTTTTTAATACTGTCCTAGATGATTGTCATTTAGTAGTACACTGCCAACTTTCAACATTAATTAGACGACCAGAAGGGCATCTGTTTAGTCAGGTAAGTAATAGAATTTAATTATTGCTTATATAACAGAAAGATAAAGCGTCTTTTTATATTTGTGACATAATTTTCTTGCAATCTAAATTTAAGTTCACTTATTTTGGCTTAAGTACTTAAGTACCTTACGAATTTGAAGCATAGTTGTGATTTTTTAAATTTTTTTGATTAATGATATATTGGTATTAATTAGCCTCGTATTGTATAGGCTTTGCTATTGTTTCTCTATGCTTTTATCGAAAGAAGCCAACATTTTGCAAGCATCTACATAAATATTTTTCTTTAAAAAGAATGCACAATTAATAATCGCGCACAATATTTCTTAATTTTTTTTTTACTTGTGTGGCAAGAGCCATCAAGTAGGTACTATAAATAAATGGCGAAATGTATTACAATTTTATATCTGATAGACTCTTTGAAATATTAGAAGAGATTCCTTTAAATATAAGTAATGAAATATATTTTATGCATGATGGAGCTCCACCACATTTTAATTTTTACCTACACAGTGGTTGAGTTAAAATTTTTTGATGACATTAGATTGGACAATGGCCTCCTAGGTCACCTGACCTTACACATTAAGATTTTATGTTATGCAATTATGTGAAACAAAAAGTTTGTTACCAAAATGGATAGATATATTAGAAGTATTACTGAATTATAAGAAAAATAATAAACTTATTTATTTGTCAAAATGGACAACATTTTGAACATTTATTTATTGTTCTAAAATATTGCCGTTATTTTCCAAGAATGTTAGTTATGAAAATTTATATTTAACTTCCCTTTAAATATAAAGAGATATTAAGAGACCATCCATTTAATAATAATTCACCACATAAGCTCGGACAAAAGGTATAATTAAATAAAAAACAGAAAGATACAAATTGAATTTTATAAAATTAAGTACACAATATAGGAAAATATAAAAATGGAATGAGTAAAAAAAGTCCACCGATATTTTGTTTGTCCCATAGAAAACTTAAATTAATTATAAATTTAATAATGCAAAAAATGTTATGTTAAATATAAGTTTTCAGATATGAAATTATTTAAACTTTCACTGGGACTTACCTTATAATTAAATTTTATACTATGTCAATAAATTATTTTATATTAATACTTATAAATAGAAATGCCGAATTAGATAATAATTATGTATGATATGCATGGCTGCACAAAAACTAAGTCATATTTCATCAAGTAAAATATAACAAAAAAGTATCTTTTGGTGCTAACTTGTGTATACCTAGTCAGATCTGTAACATATAATATCATAGTTACCTAATAGCTGCCTAAAAGATTCAATACATGTTTTATACATACATCTAATACATAAGCAATTCACAGCCCTATTACAGTGACCAGTATAATTTAAAAATTGGAGATTCAATAGATTATTTAGGGCTTTTCAATGAAATGCTGTAAAATGTCTAATTAGTATGTAGATAAGGCACAAAGTTACATTTAATAATGTAAAATAGTAAATATCAAAATTTTCTGTTGAGCATTTTCAATAAGACAGTCAACAAGGTCTAAAAGTTTAAATTTAATAATACTTATATGTAATAAATACTTTTACCACAAAAATCACTGGTGACGTTAAAATGAGTGAATAAAATTTCTACATGCATTAAAGACTTTAACATTATTAATTTAACATGTTTGTCGATTTGATGAAACTGAGAATATATCAATACAATTCTTGTGTTAATTAGACAAGTGCTTTTTAGAGAATTAATAATTAAGTAATTAGTGAATGAGTTTGATGATTCATTATTTTTTATTACATAAAAGGTGAATTAAAATAGTTATTGTTCTGATAATGTACATTATAGGTTATTATTTGAGAATGAGTAGAAATATAAAATTATGACAATTTAAAAAATCATATTTCACTTCTAATAACCAAATTAATAACTTAATGCTACCTAGTCAGAGCAACAACTCAAGAAAAAAGTGCATTTTTAATAATCAATAATTAAGTACTTTAACACACAAATATAGATACCCTGTATAAACTAATCCTAAGTGCTTCCAAGTATCTTCTAATAATTGTTTAAAGTATTCATGGCCGTCATTTCGTCTCCCCATTCTGTTTCTGGATCGGGTTTGCAACATGGGCAAGTTGTGTAGCAACAGGTTTTTTGGATTAAATAAGCCACGTGTTTTTGATTGAAAATACAAACATAAAGTATGAGCGGTCCTTGAAAAGTATTTATAAAAATATGTGCATTGATCAATCCCTCATATTTAGTGAATGATGACAAGAAGAATAGCCATTGCAATGTCATGACTAGTAATAAGAGGACAAACATACGAAAACTAAAAACAAAAAATTATAATATTAGACAATTAACAATTTTACTTTTATAGAACATTATAACTAGAATTAAAAATTATTTAAGACCAAAAATTTTGATGAATGTGAAGATCTGAAAGGTCCAAAAATTAATAAAATATCAAATTGAAAACAAACCAAAGAAAAACTGAAAAATCCACTTGCCCTGACAGGATTCTAACCTGTGATATCTAACTTTCCGCACTAGCGCTTTAACCACTCGACCAGATTCTGATCACTGATCTTTATATTAAACTGAACAGGCAAAATATATAAATAGAGGCACACTGGATAGCAAGATGTTGGACACCTTGAAGTCCATATTGGCATATTCAAAGGAAGTAAAAGGAGTATTTTTTATTATGTTTGATAAAACAGGTTACTCGATTATGAAGAAAGCATTAAGATTTGATTCTTATACATATATATTGGTGTTCAAAATGATCACACCATTCAGAAAGCTAGACATAAAGAACAGTTAGTGTATTATGTCAGCTGTCAAATTTTATTCTTTATTTATTTATTTAAACAGGATCAACCCCATTACAAAGCAAAACACATATAAATGATACAGATAATTCTAAATTAAAAAATACAAGTAAGAAAAAAAAAAGTTAAAATTAAGTCAAATAAGTTTTAAATTAATAAATGCATTTTAAGTATTGTAAATCCGTCTGTAATATTTCATTTTTACTCCAGTGTATTTGTATAGATTGCCGTAAATTTATTAAAAGAAATGCCTGTAACCTCAAGATTCAATTGATTTATTACCCTCAATGTTCTTTCAATAGGTAAATGCATGCCATAGTTTGTATTGTGAAATGGAACAGATTTAATTGCCTAAGGACTCTATTAGGATTATTGAAAGAAATCATTTCTAAGAGTTCTGGGTATATGACTAGACCATTTAATAATCTATAGATAAAATTCAAATCTGACATGTCTCCTGTAGTTAAGTTGGCTCATATTTATTTCATTTAAAATCCTAGTATAATTGTGATCGGTTACCCGATTATTTAATTTGAAGGCACAGTATAATAGGTTTGTTCCAACACGCACGAAAACCGTAATATTATCAAATCGTGCGCTGTACCCAAAAATTGTATACAGGGCATGATTTGTACGGTAATATTACTGTTTTCAGGCGTGTTGGAACAGACCTTTTAGAAATTTATTTTATATTCTTTCCACTGCTAGAAGTGTATATGATATTGTGGCGACCACATTATAGAAGCATACTCCAACTGAGGTACAACCAATGTTTGATAAACTCTTTTTATGGCTTCTAAAGAGAAATCAGAACAGTTACGCAATATTAACCCTAAGCATTGGATGATTTTATTGAGATTGAATTTATATGTTCAATAAACCTTAATTGTTCATCTAAAATAAGCCCTAAATCTTTGATTAAGTTAACCCGAGATAGTGGCTTATCATTAATGTAATATTGTGAGTTGTATTTTTTGTTCCCTTTAAAAAAGCTTATAAAGCAACATTTATTAACATTCAACTGTATGTTATTATGGTCGCACCATTTAACTAAGTTGTCGAGATCATTCTGAATGAAGGCTTGATCGTTAGATGAGTAAACTGGTCTTTACAACTTTAGGTCATCCGCGAACATTAAGAACTTACAATGTTTAAAGCATTCTATTATATCGTTAATAAATATATTAAATAAAAGTTGTGAACAGTGAGAGCACTGTGGTACACCTGAGAAAACCCTATTTATTATTATTATTATTATTATTATTATTATTATTATAATTTGATAAGAGCAGGGGCCATAAGACCCATAAGCCCATAATCCTGATCTATTTCTACCGATTTTAACTTGCTGACTTCGACCTGTCAAAAAACTTGTAAACCAGCTAAACGACTCTAGTTTCATTAACAATATTTCATGATCAATCCTGTCAAACGCTTTAGCGAAATCTGTGTAAACAGTCAACTTTCCCTTTAGCTACTAAAACATTTAATATATTTTGTTCATATAACAGTAGTTTTTAACTGTAGATTTTTTTTTGACAGAAGCCATGCTGGTTATTGATCAAAAGTTCATTGCAGTGAAAATTAAGCTGGTCAAAAATTAAGCTGTAAAGAAGATTGAATACTAACGCTTCTATAATTATTTACATAAGTCCGTTCTCCTGATTTAAAAATCGGGACAACAAAACTGTGTTTCCAGATATCTTGGGAAAACACCGGTATCTATATATTGCTTAAATAAAATGTAAATAGTCTGTGTAAGGGAAAAAATGCAATTTTTTTTAAATATATTTGGAATCCCGTCGGGTCCTACACTATTTTTATTAGGAAGTTTAGATATTTTATCAAAAATCAACTCGATAGAAAACAATTGGACAAGGAATGTTAATAAATGTTGCCAAATTACTAATTATTTCTGTTTATACGAGAAGAGTCAGTGTATACTGTACCAAAGTAATTTGCAAAATTTTCTAAAATTTGTTCTCCATTTGCTGCTAGGTTACCATTATAGTGCATTGTATTAGGTAAGTTATTAAATTTCCTTTTACTTTTTATGAATGTCCAAAAATATTTGGGATTATTGTATAAAGAGTGATTTACCTGTCTAATATAATCATTTTAACATGTTCTAGAAAGATTTTTACAAGCTGCTCTCAAGTCCGAAAAGTATATGTAGTCTTCTATATTATGAGTTGTCATGTATTGTTGATGAGCCGATTTTTTTGCCTCACGAGATATCTAAGTTCCGCATTGAACCATTTAGGGAAATTAGACGAGACAAATCTTTTTAATGGGATAAAAAGTGCAACACCCATGTTTACGATATGATAGAACTCATTCGAGGCAATATTTATTTCATTATAGCACAGTATATTCTTTCAATCAATAGCTGCGAAATAATTAAGGTCAAAGTAATTGGCATTATGGAAGTCATAGTAAAATTCTGTATATTTCAGATGATTTAAATTTGACTCGCCTGTATTAAAAGTTACTGAGTAACTTACATGGTGGATACTACACTACTATCAAATAATGGATCCGTTGATAAAACTACTTCCAAATCAATCAAATTTGTAAAAAGTAAATCTAACATTACTATTATCAGGTATAGTATTTTTTTAAAATAGATTTAAAAATGAAAAATGTTGAACCTTGAGGACAGTTAACTAAATCACCAGAGTCTTCATTTGACCACATTGCCTCTGGCAGATTGTAATCTCCAAATATGATAATGTCACATTTTTCATTATTTTGCATTATATCAATGACAGTATTACAATGATTCTCATATTTTAATTCAGTAGAATTTGGTGGAAGATAGACACCCCAAATGATTTTTGTCCTAACAAACATAATACAAATAAATGTTCCACATCGTTATGAATTACTCTTAACTACTCTGGATTTAGAATCGACTTTATAATTACACCTCCATCACGACCTTTGCTGCTTGATTCCGTGTTTCTATCACACCTAAATAATGTATACGAGGGGAGGTCAATTTCTTCCGACAATGTTTTTAGATAACCAACTTTCAATTAATATAATGTCATAATTAGAACTAAGTATATTTAATTTTAAGTCTTTTAATTTAGTTCGCAAGCCACCAACATTTTGACAGTAAATTTGCAATGGGAACGGAATCAGTTATTTTAGTTGTAATTATTAACAAAGTTTGGAACGCTGTTTTTAAACTGAATTTTAATATCTTGTTCTCCATTATTTTCTTCTTTCATCAAGCTCTGTTCTCACCATGTTGAATAAATCTCTGCATCTGCGTTTGTTCATTATTTATCTTAATATCAGAATTTTCTAATTTTTTCTTGTTCAATATCTCAAGAACAGCATTTCTATTTGAAAAAACTACTTTGATTGGTCTTGATCATTAGACAATAGGAATCATCAATGATTAATTTGTATCTGTCCGTTTTATATATTTCAAACAGTAGTATATACTGAGTATTACCATATCCCTGCACACTATTTTACCGATATGTGAGAGTGGTTGAGAGAAAACAAAAACGTAAATACTATTTTTTCTCAAAAATCCATAATAATAAAAAAAAATAACTTGTACAAATTCAAATGTCTTAAAATAGATCTGGCAATAATGCATTTATGAAGTTATCGTATTTGATGTAGTTTTACAGTTATAGCTATCAATAATAATAATTCATTTATTTAAATCCAACTTTATATTTTCTTGGTAAACTATATTATTTCAGTAGTTTTTCTTGGTTTTAATCTATTGATGTTTGAAAAGTATCAATTTAGAAAATTCTTTTTCAGTTACATCTCCCTCCGAGTCTTAGCAGTTGCATAACATTTCAATTGAGCATAAGATTTTATTACAAATTAACCAAAGACAAACGTGATTTAAAAGATCCAGATCTAATGATTTGAAAACCCGTCTCTTCCTTAAAGTTTAAAAAAAAAACATTAATATGAATTAAAATACTAGCAAGACTTCAAAATTAAATTTTTGAGTCCTTTTTGTCATGGCTAGAGGCCTTTTATAGAATTAATTTTAATTCATAATAAGAATGGTTTGTGTCATATAAGCAAAAGCATCCAATTTAGTATAACGATCAGTACAAGATATCTACACATTAATTTGATACGACAGATTCAACTCTAACCCGGGTTGAGTGGTCACCCTTTGGGGTTTATAAAATATATTTCTAAATTGTTAATTCTTTCAAATTAGCAGCTTTAAATCATTAAAAAAATCAAGAATTTATATTTTATACAAAATAAGATTTAAAAAGAAATACTTTAAATATTGAATAACAAATTAATTTTGGAACAAATATTTCCAATACTTACGTGTGACGTAATTTATGATGTATTCGTCCGTACGTATGCATCCTATTTATTATTTTTAAAGTGGTAGCAAAAAAGAACATGTCGGCCAAAAGTGTAAAAGCTACAGGAACAAAAAATATAATTGTGCCCAAAGAACCTAAAAACAGATATTTTTATAAATTGGTACAAAAAAAAAATTAAAATTTGTTTACCGATTTGTTCCCTAGTTTGATCATACGTAGATTTTGACTGAAAGTCTACTTCATCATAATCCATTGTCAAATGCGCAAAAATTGCCAAAGCCCCTAATAGAAGCGTACATGACCAAGCATAACCAGAGTAGTAGCAATATTTTCTACCATCAGTAATGCGTAAAAATACATTCCTCGATCTGGAATAATAATAATGCTTTATTAATAATAAAATTAAATTAGGTTGATTAAGACTTACTTGAAAGTTTTCCAAATGTAATAAGCTAAACTGTTCAACCAAAAAAAGGCACCCAACATACTTAAGTAACATATCGTCTCTAAAAATAAAAAAATAAATAAATAAGGGGTTACAAAAATATTAATTAACACGTTGAGTACAGTGTGGCATTTAACGGATGCCTCACTGTTAGTTCTTTTTGAGACAGCGAGACATCAATATGATTCCACACTTGCCACAGTCAGAAAATTAGCAAGGATGGCATAGTTACATAGTACGCCTCACTATAATGCTACACTCGCTCTTAGCTGTGTATAGCCTTGAAAATAGGAGACAAATTCTGTTGGGAGGCATCAACTTTAAGCAAAAAAAAAAAAATGAAATATTTGACAAAAACTTTAAAACATAAATTAGGCTTTATTAGAGTAATATGAGTGTCAAAAAATTTTCCCGTCTTTTGACATGACTTTTTTTTCTTCACGCCTGTACTCAACGTGTTAAACTGTCATTTATTTAGAACTGTTTTAACTTATTTACCTGTAATTAGTAGGCTAATGTGGTTTTTAAAAACTGTCAGCAATCTTATCATGTCAGCAGTTTGACTGACAATAAGACACATGCATATTGTGGTTATAATGTTTCCTGTAAGATCTCTTAATGTTGGCATTACGAAATAGATTATAGCAACAACCAGAAGGCAGATTATGGATACTCCATGAGTAATAGGATTAACTATATTGTGCATCAAGAATTCAGTACTAGTTAACCAATCTCTATGCACATCTGGTGCACAAACCCAGGCGAATTCACTCTTAATTCCATCAATTTTCTAAAACAGTAAATCGGAAAAGTAATATTTGAAAACTTCACATTATAAACCCTAATAATATATTCAACTTATATTTAAAATGTTTACCCTTTCAAGACAATATTTTCCTTGCTCGTAGTCATGAAATGGCGATTTAGAATTTCCAGTCTCAAAATCGAACTCTTCAAAGGCTTCATTATGATCAAAATAATGCCTTAAAACACCATTTGGCAATAGTCTTAATTTATCTGTTGAGTTAAAATAATGAAAAATTGGCCATTGTTGCATATGTCCACAATCTGGTAGACCATTGACCAACCTAAAATTGAGATATTCATCTTAGATCTTTTGTTAAATGTTCTTTTATACATTCAACAATTTCACTCAAAAGCAGCTCCGAAATCATCACGAAAATCCTGCACAAATATACCACATGACACTGTTTTTTTAATAAAAATTATTAGATGTATTTTAGTAAATCACTGAAAAATATATTAATAATGTGCTAGGGTGAGATTACAGAACGTCTGCAACTTTGCAGATCTGCAAATATGGCGGCGCAACTTTGAAAATCTGCAAATATGACTGACTTACAGATGCAAGTATCAAGTTTTCGTATTCCAAATTTGGGTTTAGTGTTGTTGGGGGTAATAAACCACAATAAATATTGCGAATTTGCAGATATTTTTTGGAATACTTGCATTTGTAAGTCCACCATATTTGCAGATCTGCAAAGTTGCAGACATTCTGTAATCTCACCCTTAATTGACAATAAAAAGGCAGCATGGCACCTATGGAATTTTGAATTGAAACCTGTGCCATATTTTTAGGTTATTTTATACCCTATTCAAAAATAAGGTGCTCTTCTAGCTTCGAACGAAGTCAGCAGAGTACCTTAATTTTCCAAAAACAACACCATATTTTTACGTTACTTTTAGGATCTTAAAATATAAAACTTTTCGAAAAATATTGGCATTTTTAAAAAAATACAGGGTTCTTTGCTAGCTTCTAAAGAAGCCAGTATAGTAGTTTTTGCAACGAAAGTGGATATGATGACCATATCGCATGAAGACGAAATTTGAGCATGACGCCGTAGGCGGAGTGCTCAATCGTCTGAGTGCGATGTGGACAACCCACTTGAGTTGTACAATATATTTTTTCTACGACCCACTAACGAAAATTTACAAATAAAAAAATATTTTAGGTTAAGACAAAATAATAAATTTTTTAAATAAAATAAACACAAAAAAAAGAAAAAGGTTCATTTTATTTTTCTTCATCCGAGAATCGAACTCCAATCATCCACGTGGAAGACCAGAATGCTATTTTTTTTAAATAATATAGCAAAGGGGTTTTCCAAAAAGAGCAAATTTTATTGAATTGTTTAATATATTTCAAGAGCTGAAAATACCGTAAAAATGTAATTGTTTTTAGAAAAAAAACTTTAGAAAAACATGGTGCCCCCACTGGCTTCCTTGAAGTTAGCAAAGCACACCATATTTAAAAAATAGCACATCAAAAAGCTTTATAATATATCAAGAACCAAAATATAACCTTAAAATGTGGCAATGTTGTTTTTAGAAGAAGAAAAAGCACCCTGTTTTTTAAAAAATACTATTATTTTTTTCAAAAAGTTTTATAATATTTCAAGAGTCTAAAAGTAGCATAAAAATGTGGCACAAGTAGTTGTTTTTAGAAAAAGAAATTAATAAACCAAGGGTGCTCTGCTGATTTTGTATTAATTATTAAAAATAGCAATTTTTTATAGTAAAGTTATATATGTCAAGAGCCTAAAAATAACCTAATAAGGTGGTGTGATTGTTTTTAGAAAAAAATGCTTTAAAAAACGGAGGTGCTCTTTCAAAGCTAGCAAAACACCCTGTATTTTTAAAAAATACTAATTTCTTCAAAAATTTTTATAATATTTCAAGCACCTAAAAATGTGGCATTACTTTTTTGAGAAAAAAAAAATAATAATAAACCAAGGTGTTCTGCTGACTTTGATCCAACAAAGTACCCTGTATTTTTTAAAAATATCAATTTTTTTTTATATTTTAAGAGCCTCAATATAGCCTAAAAATATGGAGTTGTTTAAACAAAAAAACTTTTAAAAGCTGAGGTACTTTGCTGACTTTATTAGCTCCTTGTTTCTTGCAAAAAAAAACGAGCATAAATTTTTTAAATTGAGTATAAAATTAGCCTAAAAATATGGCATAGGTGTCAACTCAAAATTCCGTAGGTGCTTTGCTGCCTTCTTTGGTATTAATTAATTAAATTGGCACATCAGAAAATTAAAATTTTTCGAAACTATCTTGAAAATTGTGACTCTAGGATACATTTTGTATCCTACATAGTACAGGTTAACATAGCCATATTTGCAATATATACCCGACTTATTATTTAATATTTATATATTTAATATTTATATATTTAATATTTAACCTGTTAACCAAAGAATTTCCCTTATTAATTACTCACCTGTAGGACGTAATTTCATATTATTTTTTTTATTTATATTTAAAATAAATGAAAAAAATATGAAATATATATATATTTTTTCATTTATTTATATATAAAGGAAAATGCAAAATTACAAATAGAAAAGAATACCAACAAAAAATGGAAACATCAAATGAAAATATTATAAATTTTACAAACAATTATAAAGATTACAAAACATATATATTTTTTATTAAGATACACAATAAAAAATATAAAAAAACTTAACAATTGGAGGTTTCAGAAGCTAATCAGTAAGTCATTGTTTTTCTGAAAGTACAGTTTTTGTGTTAAATCAAAGTTATTTTTTAAATTATTCAAATTTTGATTTTTTTCACTTGTATGACCTTTCAATAAAAAAAAATGTTATAAAATTCTTATAATCATGAATCTGCATCAAGGACATATTGATATGTCCTACCCATACCTGATATTATTTAACTTATTTATATGTTCCGCTAAGTTAACAGGTTAAAATCCCCTACCAATCTGATTTTCATGACATTCTCTTAATTTTCCCGATCATTATGGTGTTTAATTTGGTATTAAATTTTATATAAGGGATTGCAAATTTCACAGTTTTATAATTTAAACAGCTGGCTGCAACAACGTTCATTGAAATTTATGGACCTGATAAACTTTGACAGAGCTTGAGAATCTGATGTGTTTAAATGACGAACTTTAAAAGTGTTCTTGCAACAGGGGTGTATATCTATTTACTAAGCAGGCCTATATTTTTCAGGTAAATTAAAAATAAAATTAGGTACATCTTCAAAACCTGTTTTGTAACTGTAACCCTCTCAACAACACAACACTTTTTAAACTCCCATATTATTTAATGCCAAAATAATTTAACAACTAAATAGTGACTACTTTTTATTACTTACGTATAATTAATCTGTAAATTACTGATGCCTTTTTCAGTAACAAATAAGGGTCTCCATTCTTCACTGGATTTATTCGTTTGAACACAATACTTTCCTATGTAAATTTCATTGTTTTCACAACATTTGTTAACCTTAACAAGTAGCACATTATCAGATGCTTTAAGAACTTCTGAATTAATAAAATTTAACAACCAAAGTTTTAAAAACGACTGCAGTAATATCTTCATGTTTTTAGACTTGCCCTGTATTAAGTTGTTTTTTATATCTTTCTTTGCTGTTGCCTTTTTCTTGCAGATGAAGCATTGGTATATTATTTAATTTAAAATCTTATTCAGTGTTTGAATAATATACAAATTCTTGCGCCTAAAATAACCAAGTAAACAGTATGTATTTATTTCCTAGTCTTGTTTACATGACTCATTTCTGTACCGTATTGTATTATTTTACGCTTCTTTTTAATTTTTAATTCATGCTTCCTTTTAATCGTCTGCTTTTGTCATCAAAATGAAATTCAATATTCAAGGATAAACTAAAAATATTGATGTTTACGAATGAAACTTTCTTTTTTTACTTACCGTCACCGAACATAACCTCAAATTTTATGTTATGAGTGTCTCCAAAACCAGCAACGGAAACATTATTTATTTTGATATGGCTAATATTTCATTAACGGATCGCTAAAAAGAATTTTGTAGATTTTTAATGTTCCATATAAAAAAAATCTTAATAAGACAAAAATAGTATCAAAAAAATTTGTATATTTTTAACTTAATATGATTTTTTATGTATCATGAATGTTAATGTACTTATTTTGTAAATTAACTAAAATTTTAGTACCTAGGTATCTACTCATGATTAAAATTTTGCATTTTCTTGATAAATTAAGTAGTGATAATTAAATATTATCCTTACTATATGCTTAGTTTTTGTATTATTTATAATACATGTACATACAATATTACAATAAGTAGGCATATTGATATTGTTACTATATAGGGTGTTTCTAAATTCATGCAAAAAATCCAGATAGTGATTTGTGTTTTCTCTTTAAACATAAGGCTCAATTCATCTTTTATATAGAGCTGGGTCTAAATTCTTGTAGATATTATAGTTCTAGGTAATCACTTTCACGTTTCCGAACACTCTTAGTCCGAAAACGTAAAAAAAAAATTAATTTGGTCGTCTGTGCGTGCGTATGTATGTGTATGCGCCAACACGGTTAGTTTAGAACGAAAAGCCTGATCGACTTACGGTTTAGATTTTATTTGATTGCTTCAAGCCGAGAACCCTATTGATTTTCATAATTTTCTGTTTAAATTTAATGCATTAAATACATATTTTTTTAATACAATGCATTTCTTATGGAGCTTATACTATGCACTGCGCATGGAAACTTTTTTACACTAAATAAGTCATGCTTGTCAACTATGAAACCATAGACATTTTGTTTTATATTGCTGTCATCATTAAACGTCAAATGAATGATTTAAAGTTTTTAAAACGTCTTTTGAAAGATTTTATTTAAGTGGTTATTGTAACTGAAAGTTATAAGTAAATATAAAAGTTTTATTTTTAAATAAATGTCGATCTTACGCTAATAACATACAGGTGAAGTAAATATAATTTTTGCACGAGTTTTAACGAACTCTAGAATAGAACCCAATTTGATATTAAGATAAAAAAATTAAAGGGCCCAAATAATATTTTTGAATGGGCAGACTTCTGTAACTGTAACGTATGGAGGGTGGGTTACCCCCCACGGCGCTTAGGCCTCACCAGGTCCATTTTGCATCCTCCTAAGATGATGGGTACCTCATAGCTCGTAAGTCAGCCTACAGATTTAATGTAGTTGACAACGTCACCAAGAAGTGCTTATCTTATATAGGCCGGTGTTAGCTGATACTCGCCGAATACAAATATTCTAATAAATGAGAGCGTCAAGGAATCATAAAGGATATGCTCGATGGTCTTAGCTTCTTGTTCGCACCCTCTGCAGAGTGCGGATTCTGACAGCCCCATGATATGGAGATGCTTCCGTACTTGGCAATGACCAGTCAGAATTCCTGTGACTAGGCGCAGATTCTGTCTAGTCATAGTCAAGTATTTGTTTACTGCGGTGTTGTCAGGATAACTTAAGAGCTCCCAGGCAACTCTGCAGTTTCTTGTTTTATCCCATCTTTCCTTAAATTTCACAAGGGAATGTTCTTTAATTAGGTCTTTTAGTACCGATTTTGTCAGGCTAATAGAAGGGCCAGGTCCAAAAAGGATTTGGTTGGCTGCTTTCTTGGCTAGTTAATCAGCAAGACGGTTACTTTTCGATGTGGCGTGACCTTTGATCCATCTTAAGGTGACCACATTGTTGATGGATACTTTGGCCAAAGCTTCGTGATATTCTAATACTAACCCTGAAAAAATTCGTGGTCTGTTCAGGGTGAGTAGTGCTTGTCTGCTATCTGTATAGATGAGCATGTTCCTTCCAGTGATATTGTTTCTGGTGATTTCTTTTGCTGCTATGAGAATTCCCGTTAGCTTTGTTTGAACTACACTGGCACTATTATTCACAGAACATTTTATATCTAGGTTTAAGAATCTGGAGTATATTCCATATCCTGAGCCTTGATTTGTTTTAGAACCATCGGTGCAGTTATGAATCGTACCTGCCACTTCCGGCTCTTCTATTTGTTCTGTTATAACTTTATATGGCTTATGGAAGATATATCTCGGTGAGATGGAGTCCATGTTCGCTTGAAGCAGTGGGAGCGTAACGAGCGCCTCCTGCCAAAAGCGACTCTCGCCTCACCAGATTCTACATCAGGTTCTATTCCAACCATGCGGAGGCGTGTCATTGTCGTCAGAGCAACCTCTTTGATGTAAATATCAAGGGGAGTGAGACAAAGAATGACTTCCATGGCTCTGGTCGGTGTTGTTTTCATGGCTCATGTTATGTCGAGACATGTTGTTCTTTGCATTTGTTCTAGTTTACGGATAGCTGTTAATGTTTTGGATTTCGGTACCCAGACAACTGCACCGTATGTTAGCATAGGTCTTATGATAGCCGTGTAAGTCCATGCGACGACTCTGGGGGAGCATTCCCAGGTGCGCCCCACGGTTCGGCGGCATTGTTCTTAAGCAATGTATGCTCTTTTGACTGTTTTCTAAATACGAGTTCCATGTTAACTTGTTGTCAAAGGTGAGACCTAGGTACTTCACCTCTGTTGCAAAGTTTAGTTTTATGTTTAGGAGTTCTGGAGGTTTTAATTTCATTTTCATCCTTTTCCTTGTGAATAGGACCATTTCTGTCTTCTTAGGATTGATAGACAGTAAATGGTCCTTGTACCATGTTCTATAATTTTTAGAGCTACTTACATTCTTTCGCAGAGTATGTTCTCAAAATTCTCTGTTTTCAGAATGACCAGGTCATCTGCATATGCTATTGTGTAGTGACTGTCATTATTGAGACGGCTGATGAGGGTGTCAAGGACCATGTTCCACAATAGAGGTGATAGCACCCCTTCCTGTGGACATCCCCTTGCAACCAAGCCTCTTATATTTACTTCTACACTTATGTTTACTGCTCGCTTTGATAGCATATGTTATGTATCCACCTACTAACCATCTGTGGAATATTTCTGTTGGTTAGTGAGTGTATTATCTTTGGGAAGGTGGTTTTATCTAAAGCACCTTCTATGTCTATGAAAACACCCAAAGCGGACTCCTTATTGTCTAGGGATCTCTATTCGACCAGCAACTAGATGAAGGGCTGAATCAGTAGATCTGCCTGGGGTGAATGCATGTTGGTTTGGGTGTAATGATATTGTTGTAATCACCGTATCCCTTATGTACCTTTCGCATAAACTTTCCAATGTTTTCAAGGAAAACTATGTCAGACTAAATTGGTCGCTATGTTTTTGAGACAGTGTAATCCATCCTTCCAGGTTTGGGTATGAATACCACTTTTACCCTTCTCCAGTTTTTGGGGATATACCTCAGAGCCAACGAGGATCTGAATATACCCACCAGGTGTGGTGTAAGTTCTTCCAGATCCCACTGAAGTAGGCCCCTCAGATCCTGGCGATTTAAATGGCGATACAATGTGGTTGGCAGTTTGCCAATCATAGGCAGATGGGTTGTATTCTTCCTCTGCCCAGTCGGCCACGTCTGTGATGACCGAATCAGGGAAGTGTGTTGACAGCAGAAGTTTGATGCTATCTTCGAGGCTGGCAGTTTTTTTGCCATCCTCTTTGATTAGCGCACACCAATGCTTCGATGAGAATCTTTTGAAAGAGCTCTTTGAAGCCTTGATGCGGAAAATCTTCGATTTCTTTGCAGTAGGATCTTCATGCATCTCTGTTTTTGTCTTGACGATTTTTTTGTATTTTCTGAGATGCGATTTGTAGGTATCCCAGTCCTCTTTGAGTTTTGTGGTTCTTGCCTTATTTAAAGATTTCCTAGCCATCTTCCTGCGGTAATCCAACTCGTGATACCACCATGCGGTAGTCGTTTGATCGTGTTGGACCAGCCTCAGAGGACAGGATTTCTTATAGACATTGTTTATTGTGCTTTGGATAGTGTTCGTGTACTTTTCCAAAGCAGTATTATTGTTTGGTGTTTCGGCCTCCATCTCTCTCAGAGCCTCTTGGAGAAGGTGGGCATAGTTTGCCCTGTCCGTCTTCCTAGGGTTCCGAGATAGCGTGGAGGTCGGCAACATCAAGTTTATTTTGAATGTTAACCAGCGGTGGTCTGACATCGAAATGTTATCAGACACTTGCCAGTTTAGAATTGATCTATAGATACCAGTTGTGGATAAAGTGATATCTATTAGTGTTTGACTTGCCAGACTTGAGCGACAGAGGGTCCAAATATTTTTACGTCAGCAGGCTTAATGCTTAAACAGTCCAAATTTTTTTTGTATGTTCCAGAGAAGTTTGTTGTCCATGGTTAGGCCCAGATATTTTACTTCTTTTTTCCAATCTATATCTATCCCGTCTAATTTGACGGTTTTGAGATTGATCACTCCATATAATAATGATTGATTCGTGTATCTTTATTCTCAGGGGTTACATGTTTTTTTTAACAGTCTTAGTAAAATGAAACACAAACATTTATATAAATTTTAATAATGGATTAGAAATTATTGTTATGACTAGACAAATTTGTTAATAATATACATTTTAAATTGAAATTTTTTGTCACATTGAACAAAAATTACAATGTTGATTTATTATTTGATGTAGATAAAATATAAACGTCTTTTTAAATTTTTAATCAAAACAACTTTTTACAGTCTCTTGAATAACATTCATACACTTTTATTTCCATAGGAAATATACGTTGTTTATATTAAAGAAACTATTGTTGTAAATAAACTTGATTAGTAATGAATGAGTTATTGTGTAAAATAATGATATCAACTATCGCATCTACAACATGCGATTTTTGTTACGAAATTTTTGATTGTTTCGATTGCTATGTGATCTCAATTATATTGTTTTTTTTTTTTATTAAAATGCAATAACATTGCATTGAGTTATTCAACATAGTTTTTGTACATTCTTGATCGGGACTAGCATATAATTTTGTCATCTCCTTAGACACCCGAAATTAAAAAAAAAATAGTTGCTTATAGTTTTAGTACCGCTATTCAAATTTTTTTAATTTAAATATTAATTTTAGCTGGATGCGCGTAACTTAAACTGAATTCTTCTTCTAACTCTTCACATTCGCTGTCTTTGTCGTTTTTCCAATATACCGGGAATTGCAATTTGTAGAATTTTCTACTTGCTAAAGATCGTTTGATTTTTTTTCTAAAGACCACGAGTATTAGAAAAATGACGAAACCTTGTAGGGCATTAAAGATGTCAGTTATGATCCTGAAATAAATACATTTATTTAGTAGCTGTATGAAAAATGTGAGACTATAAATATAAACATTTTGTTTTTACTATTTTACAAAAACGTGGTTTGGATTTTAGATTTTATATGGACAAATAGCGATTATTTTTAATAAATAACTTACCAAATCCATCGTATCTTACTATCATGAAAAGCTGCCGAGACAATTTCTAGAATCCATGTGATACCCATTATAAAGAATAATTTCATGTACAGTCTTAACCTAAAAATTGATGATTAGATACCTAAATAATTCAACAATTTAAAGTATATTCCAACCTGTATTTAAGGACCTTTGTTTTAGGACAGTTTTTGGATCTTTGCCAAAGTTCGGCGGCCGTCCAAACGAAAAAAACTATATTAAGTATCAGCAATACCGTAATTGGTCCATAGAAAAATATCGCAGTTTCTCTTAATGCTAGAAAATAAATGTCATGTAATCAAATGATTATTTATTTATTTATTTACGGGTTCACCCCCATTACAAAAATATACAATATATAAAAGTGTCTATTACAAAAAAAATTAAAAATAAAAATATAAATATATCATAAAATATGTATACAAGTTTAAAAACTAGATTTGCGAGAGTATCAATCAAATTAAGCTCTCTTTACACGTTTTTTGAATGTAGAAAGTGATATACCAAATATGTCTATATCCCTATTGTTAAGCATTCTCAGAGTACGTTCAACTGGAGAATGCATATCATAATTTGTGCAATGAAATGGAATGTGAAACAGTTCAGAGTATCGGAGATTTCTAGTTGGCACATATAAGCTTATACTCTCAAGAAGCTCAGGACAACTTTCTAAACCATTGAGAATCTTAAAAACAAATATCAAATCATAATCTTCCCGCCTTTTGCTTAGTAGGTCAATATTCAGTGATTTCATAATATCTGTGTAGTTATGATTACTAATTTGTATACAGGGTGTTTATTAATTGAGTGCCGATACTTAAGGGTGTGAATCCTTAGGTGATTTTAAGAAGAAAAGTTAATATCAACATATGTCGTAACTCACTTAATTTTTGAGCTACAGGGTGTTACAGTTTTAAGAAAAAAATTACTTTTTTATCATAATTTTTTTATCACTATTTCTATGAAATTTTGTACACACGTTTTAATAATTAAGGAGCATTTTTTGACATATAAGATTTTTTTAAATTTTTACCAGTGACGTCCGTACGGAGTTTGAACTGAATATTTTTGAAGAAAAAAAAAATGGTACGCCACTGCTTTTTCTAAAAACCAAAATTATTTTTGAAATCATCATTTATTTTGGAGCAAACTTGGTTCCTAGACTTACTTTCGTACGATGCACTGTTTTTGCGTAAAAAAATAAAAACCATTGTAGTGGTTGGTCAAATTTTTTCCTTAAATTCATTGATACCTACTGCTTTTGATATTTTGTTGAAATCTGGTAGACACCCACCATGCGTGGAAACATTTTTTTGGGACAAAAATTAATTTTCTACGTTGTGAATAGAAAAAAATGGTAAGCGCATTATTGCCCTCTTAAAGCAAATGAAATAAACATTAGTAGGCTGGGTAAAGCGTCATCATTTTTGACGTTTATTTTCATAAAGACAATAAAGTTGACATTGATTTTACATTATTAAATAATTATTATTAGAGTAAGAGTTCAAATCTGAAAAAAAAAAGGTAAATTTTACGAACAGTGAATTAGCTGACATGCATTTTAGTTATGGGCTTGCAGACGGAAATGCATACGAAGCCAGACGGATATACCAAGAGCGGTATCCAAATCGTGTACTACCCGATCCGAGAACATTTTCTAGGATTCATAGACGTCTTCACGAGACCGGAACTTTAAAAGTAGACCACAGGGCTAAAGGAGTCCATCAAACAGTAAGAACACCGGAACTTGAAGAAGGAATTTTACATGAAATTGAGGAGAACCCCGAAACTAGCACGAGGAGAATCGCGTCAACATTTAATGTTTCACATGTACTTGTTTGGAAAATTCTCATCGAAAATTTGTTATACTCATATCACATTCAAAGAGTCCAGGCATTACTCCCTAGAGATTTCCCGTTGCGCATTAATTTCTGTGAGTGGTTTCTTCAAAACCTGCTGGAAAACCCATTATTTGACAGGCACATTCTTTTTACCGATGAAGCTAATTTTTCTCGAAACTCAATAATAAATTTCCATAATAACCATTTATGGGCGGATGAAAACCCTTATGCAATTGTTGAGTCAAATCATCAAGAACAGTTATCATTAAATGTTTGGGCTGGCATTATAGATGATTATTTGATAGGCCCATTTTTTCTCCCAAGAAGACTTGATGGACAATCATATTTACACTCCCTTGAAGATGATCTGCCGCCAATGCTTGAAGACCTTCCTCTTTTATTAAGAAACCAGATGTGGCTAATGCACGATGGTGCGTCTCCACATTTTAGCTTACGAGTGCGTGAATTTTTAAATCACACCTATCGCAATCGGTGGATAGGTCGCGGAGGAACGCAGTCATGGCCGTCTAGATCTCCCGACCTTAATAGTTTAGACTTCTTTTTCTGGGGGCATCTGAAAAGCTTAGTGTACGCAGTGCCGATTCAAACCGAAGAAGAGTTACGAAATCGAATGACAGTCTGCTGCCAAATCGTAAGAAACACCCCAGGAATCTTTGAAAATGTGCGTCATTCTATGCGAAGAAGCGTAGATGCTTGCATACGTGTGGGTGGAGGACACTTCCAACAATTACTGTAAATAATTTGGGTTCTTTATTTTGTTTGTATTCTCTTGTAATTTCGTTTTAGATTCAAGATTTTGAATTTTCATTTTACTATAAATAAATCCCGATTTTTAAAATACATAGAATTTAAAAAAATATTTTTTTTTCTTAAAACTGTAACACCCTGTAGCTCAAAAATTCAGATATTTACGACATATGTTGATATTAACTTTTCTTCTTAAAATCACCCAAGGATTCACACCCTTAAGTATCGGCACTCAATAAACATCTGTATGCACAGTACCTCAGAAATTTGTTCTGAACTCTTTCCAGGCTCGTACAATGGTTCTGATGATGTGGAGACCATACAATAGATGCATATTCCAACTGTGATACCACTAGAGCAAAATATACTGTTGGTACGGTCCAAACAGAAAATCCATGGCAGTTGCGTAAAATAAATCCCAGGGACTTTGAAGCGTTCACTGTAACATTATTTATATGTCGTACAAAACGTAATTGTTCATCGAATATGACTCCTAAATCCTTCACAAGGATTACATATGTCAACTGATCGCCATTAATTGAGTAGAACGTTTGAAATTTTTTATTACCTTTATAAAAACTTATATGACAACATAAATGCAAATTGTTATCATTACACCAAGTACGTTAATTGTTTAAATCGTCCTGGATTAAACTAACCTCTAACGGTGTTATATGCCTGAAAAGCTTTAAATCATCGACAAACATTAAAAAGTCACAGTTTTGGAAACATCTTTCAATATCGTTAACAAATATATTAAACAATAAAGGTGAGCAATGAGCGCCCTGTGGTACACCAGAAGATACATAGATTGTATTTGATTTAAAACATCCTATTCTTACCTGTTGCGTGCGACCAGTTAAAAAACTCTTAAACCAATGTAAAGATTGATCCGAAAAACCAAACATTTTTAATTTTTTCAATAGAATGTTATGATCTACTCTAGTGAATGCTTTGGAGAAGTCCGTATAAATCGCTTCAATCTGCCATTTCTTTTCCAAGACATTTAGTATTTTTTGTTGGAAGACCACTAAATTTGTAATAGTTGATTTATTCTGTGATGTGTTGATTATCAATTAAACGTTCTTTGCAGTAAAATTTTAACTGGTTACATATTAGATTATCGAAAAGTTTTCCTGATTTAAATATAGGACGAATATAAGACTGCTTCCAAAACGTAGGAGAAAATCCAGAATCCAGCGATAATTTAAAAAGAATATATATTGGATGTGTTAGTGTTTAAATACAATTTTTAAGAAAGTAGTCAGGAATTCCATCCGGCCCGCTTCTCATTTTATTGAGTAAAGCCATGATTTCATTAAAAATATCTTCAACAGAGATAGAAAAATTAGCCATGGTGAAATTACTATTATTTCCAAATGCACCGAGATCAGTGAATGGCGATTCAGGTGAATAAACCGTGGAAAAGAATTGAGCAAAACAATTTACAATGTGTTCTCCATCTGCTGCTATAATATCTCCGTAATACATTGTATCTGGTACTTCACAGGACGAACGTTTACTGTTTACATGTTTCCAGAAATATTTTAGATTGCTGCGTAAACTATGGTCTACCTGATTAATATAATTGTTATAGCAACTATTAGATACATTTTTGCATGATCTTCGAAGATCTGAAAAGACTTGATAATCCTGTAGAGTAAGAGTATTTAGATATTGTTTATGTGCAACTTTTTTCTGCTGAACTAAAGATCGTCACTGTGCATTAAACCATTTTGGATAGCTGGATTTAAATTTTTTTACCGGCACAAAGATACTGTCATATTTAGTATATTATATAATTCTGCTACTGCTTCATCAATGCTTGATAAGTTTAAATGATTTTTCCAAATGACGTTAGAGAAATAGTTATTAAGACCAATATAATCAGTATTTTTAAAGTCGTAGTAGAATTCACTATAACATATTGAATTAATTTTGTTCTTGCGTAAAGCTATACTGAAAGTATCTGATGTGATGATAACTGTTTTCAAAAATCGGATCAGATGTTTGAAGCATCTCTAAGTTACAAAAATTTGAAAAAACTAAATCTAAAAATGTATTTCTATTATTAGGAATGTTTATCAATTGAAAAAAGTGTAGGAAAGCATAACTCTGAGCTACCCGCATAGCATGAGAACCTTGAGGGCAATTTACTAATACACCATGTTCACTGTTATCCCAATATGCTTCAGGTAAATTGAAATCGCCAAATAATTTGTAAAACTTCTGCTGATTCTTTCTTTGAACAATGTCTTCTACTGTCCTACAATGTTGCTCATACACTACTTCTGGGGATTTGGGAGGAATGTATACTCCCCCAATAATAAATGTTTCATTCTCAATTGAACATAGCAGATAAAGTTGTTCTACCGATTTGTGTAGAGGATTTAACACAGTTACTTTGATGGAATCTTTTATAATGATTAATATTCCTCCCCCCTAGATTTGTCACTGGTTTCACTACATCGATCACTTCTGAAGATTGTATATTCTGGTATTTTAATTTCAGTATCTAAAATACCTTTGGATAACCAACTTTCGACTAGAATTAGTAAATCATAATTTGAACATAGAACGGAAGCTATGAGATCTTGAATTTTAGTACGAAGACCTACATTTTGGCAATATATTTGTAATGGGGATGAGATTAGTTTTTTGTGACCATTTTTTCAATTTTTGGGATGCCATTTCTGTATCTAATACCAATATCACTTTCTCCCTTTGTACTTTTGTGAGATCGTTGTTTATTTTGATGGAAGAATGTTGTAAATTTCGTTTACATCTTAACAGATCGTTAACTGCGTTGTTATTTATTAGAATAGCTTTGATAGGTCGAGGTCTAGCCCCTCCTGGTTTACCCACTCGAATAATTTTAACCATATCGCTGATTATTTCTTCCTTGCCCATTAGATTTAGAGTTTCTTCTATTCTTTGTTTATCCTCTGTTATTCGTTCTTCAATATTTCTGGATTGGGATTCAGGAACATTAAAAACATAACATTATTGGCTTTTATAATTCTTTCATTAATCTCTGAAAACATTTCCTCACACAATAAATTTGATGTACTAGAATCCTGCTTTAAATTATCTACTTTCTTAATTAACTCTTCAATTTTCCTATCTTTTTCTTGTAGAGTTTTATCATTGGCCTGTTTAAGTTTAGTTACTTCGGTCTTTAAATCCTCAACCATTATTATATCATTAACCATGTATTAAATCTCTATGCTGCTACTTGACTAGTAACCAATAATCATCCACCATGAATTTGATTAAATCGATAATCATGTTTGGTGATTCATTGGTATTTCGAACAAAATAATGCAATTTTTGTATTTTGTTTCATGATCTAATGAATACAACGCTTGAAATCGTTATTATATGCATGAGTGGATGCACTTATTGATTATAAGGATTCCACTCGATGTATATGATAATGTGCTTACAAAACAATACTTATTTTTTTATTTTATTTATAATGTAATGAATATAATGTGTTTCAAGTAATATTTCAAAAATACTTACATTGGAACCAACAAATGGAACCGCCAATGCCCGGATGAATGTTATCTAATCCTTCAGGTTGTGCGTGATTTAAAAGTATTACCCAACATAAAGCCAAAAATGGCGAACAAATGCCATAGATATGATAAATTATTTTCCAATATTTTATCCTTTCCAAAGATTCGAAATGCCTGAAAACAAGTAAATTAAGTAAATAATTCTAAAGAAATTTTATTACAAATATTGTTTGTGTCTTAAAAATAAAGGTAGTTAATTATTGTTAATAAATCCCATATACAGTGTGTAGCAGCCAAATGAAATAAATTTAGTAGCTCAATTACTGTGAATATTTAATATTCAATTTTGAATTATAAAATGACATCCTGCAACGTAAAAACATCACCCCTACCTTTAGCCCTCTTCGAGTGGCAGTTGCAACCACGAAATTTGTAAATATGAAGTAGAGGCTTCATTTGAAAGGTCTTCTCATTCAAAAATGAAGTGATTATCAAATTTATTGAAAAGCCAAAATTCCCCAAACAATTAATAACTAATAGAGAAAGCAAGCAAAACCAATTTCAGTGTTTTTTAACAAAAAAAAAGAGGCAAAAGTTATCAAAATTCTTCATAGGTTGTTGCACTCTTAATTTAGTTTACGCCTTAGCAACTTGCTGTGTAATTGTAACCTCATGACATTAATTGCTGTCAATGTTGTACATGTCATTTGAATTTATTAACTACAGATCAGAAACATGATTTATTTAACATAGAAGCATAAAATAAGAATTTTACAAATTATTGATGATGATGATATAATGCTTATACTATAGTCTGTGTCTCAGTATGACCGATATAGAGGCTTGTGTCGTTGTTTTCGCTCCATATATAAAGCATTCGGCCCTTGACTATTCATGAACTGTAGAAATAAGAAACTTTGAAATACCTATGCGGTCCATAGGTCTGGGAGATAACACTAATGGAATTATTTGATTTAACACTATGCATGATTTACTTATGAATAAACACTTTTTACATTATTAACAGCATTTCTCTAGGAAATTTGTTACAATAAACTATGTTACTTGAGAAATAATTTATGTTACATAATGGCGGACAAAGCGTCCCCTTTTTATCGTGGAAAACGCGTGTGGTCTCGATGACTTAATAGCAGTGGTGCGAACGAAGCGGGCCATCGAGCTTTAGTCTGACGCTTGACGTTGAGCAATGAGTAGAACTGCCTTATCGGCCAAGAAAGTGAAGATTATAGAGACGTCTCTAGGACAAAACTGATGCACTTTAACATTGAATGAATTAAATTTAACCAATAAATAAGGATGATTATATTTATGTTGTTAATTGGATTAAAGTTTTTTTAATCTCTTGGCATTAAAACATTTCAGTACCTACAATCAAAAATTAAAAAAAATAAAAAGTTCAAGAACTATCTTTAAAAGTCACTGTATTCACTATAACTACTGGTATCATTATCATTGTTTTTTCTGAGGTTTATTATTAAGTTTTCCAGTGTTATACCCACTTTCGAAAATGAATTTTCCACCTTTTTAACATGATCAATGCATGTTCTCCAATGTTCTCCATTATAAGGGGCGTTGGTAGAAATTAGTCATTAATTTTCCATCAACATAATAACATCAAAACCATAACAACACACTAATAACTAAACACCAGCTCCTACATCCATTTACATCTGAAACTGCCTTCAAAAATAAATTTCGCACATCAGGTAATTTAAATGTTGTATTGTTTCGAAAAACATAACTTAATTGTGATCAGATCAGTTCAATGGGATTTAACTCTGCGTGGTAAGGTGGTAAGTCTGAAAATTTCAATTCCTTTTTCTCGGGCCATATCGTCTATATACTATATTTTTTGAATTTGTTTTTATGTTGCCTTGCTATTAAGAGTAATGCTGCCTTCCAGGATTTAAGAGGACTTATTTTTAGAATGAAACCAATTTGAAATATCTTCTTTTTTCCATCTTTTTGTAGGTAGTGACTGTGATAGGATGCATTATCCAAAACAATAACGGAGTTGGATGGAGTTTTTTATAATGTTCTAAAACCAATTTTCAAATATAGAGCCACCCATTTCTTCATGGTAGTCTTTTGTTTTCTTTGACTCGAACATTAATAAACCATCTGCCAAAAATCCATCGGTGCTTCCAATGTGGTTTATTAATAAACGATTTATTTTTTCTGTTGGATTTTTTAATCGAAAAGAGACTCCTTCCATAAAGGCTTGTTTTTTTTTTAGTTTTGATGGGTATCTTACCAAATTTTTGTTACTGTACTCGTATGTACAGCATTAACTCATGTTTCATCTAAATAAAATATCTGTGTATGCTGATTCCTTGCGTCCGCTATTTTCCTTAATCATGTCTCCACGCAGTGATTTCGTCTTTATCTGTTAACAAGCTGTTTCTGTCACTGTTTTTGTAACGAAAATTTAATTTGTGTAATATTTTTTGCAGATGAAAAATGATATATTTGGACGAGTGGGGCTATTTTCTATTTCTGAGTGTAATTATTTAAGTGTAGGAATTTCATTTTGAAAGAATAAAGAATGTACCATTTGCCTTATTATATTCTTTACCCCAGTTTTAATGAAGGTCTTGTTTCTTCGATGGGGCTTTTTCGAATGTGAGACTTCTCCAGTAACTGTATCTTCTTTAATAATGTTATACACTTTTCACTTAGATACTCTAGTATAGGTCTCACATTTAGTGGCTATTTCATCCACAGAAAGTGAAACAGTCTTTTCGAAGATTATTAAATACATTAAGTACGATATTTTTTTCTTCTAGAGATAATGCTTTATGTCCACTAGGTCTTTTATGCGTACTTGTGCTTGCAATATTTACTAATGCATTCACCTTTCTTATATAACTGTAAAATTATAATATATACTAATAACAATTTCCAAATCAATTAAAATAAGGTCTGACTTATCTGTCAAAAGAAAAGGTTTATTACTGTAAAAACCATGGAAACATGATTAAATATAAACGAAAACTTTCATTAGGCCGATGATGTATTAAAATATTAATTTTAACTACAAATAAGCATTAAAGTATGGGGTATAAATAAAATGTCTACCTGTTGAACCTGTATTGCGTTTTGCAAATTAAATTACTGCACTCTTTTCTTCTATAGACTGTAAAGTTTTATATTACACACTTTTATAATAAATAATTATTTCGTGTGCCAATGATTTTAATATGAGTAGAAAGTATCTATCTATTGCGTACATTTATGACAAAAATTAATTTTGATTTTTAAGTTTTACCTTGAAATCAATATAATAAAGTATGATTATTTTTCATAAAAATTTATGACTACTCTTTTGACTTTACCTTTTTTTATTGAATATTTACATTATTTGCAAGGTAATAGGTATATAAACGTTTGTTTAGTTACATAATACTTATAAATATAAATATTGAAACTTCTATCGACCACTTTATTTTGTCAAACTTGATGAACTTTAGAATTTAAACAAGATGTGATGTACGGTACTTTAATACTTTAACGACTCGCATTTATTTTTAAATCGTTTTTAACTATTCTTAATTGATAACGTAACTAAATCCTAGACGTATTCTGGTCTGTGTCATGCCCAAAAATCAGACAAAAACCAGTGGGCTTGTGACTGCATGTATTAAATCAATCAGAATTTGTAACTCAAGGCATTAATGAAACGCATTGCAGACATTTCAAGTGACTTAGAAATGTAGAAACCTTAAGAAGGTACATTGAACTTTTTAAATTTTAATTCCAATTAAAAATAGTTAAATTATTCTGCGACTGTAATATAAATATATACGAACATTAAATGACAATACGCACCTTTAATTATAAAGTGGCACAACTAAAAAATGATATTTTCGTGGAATCTGCCAAAAAGTGTTTTATATTTGGAGATGTCTTAGAATGTTTGAACTTTGAGAAAATTTACGAAGTATTATGAATAAATGAAATTTGTGGAAAGGTAAAGAGAAAATGGTTCTATTGTTAGATAAATGAAAAATCACAGTTAGGTCACTTTAGTAATAAAAAGAAGATGTATCAATACGAAATGTGTCAATTTGTGACTAAAAATTGCATAACGATTTTAGAATTATTTTGAAATAGTTCTTCTTTGAATTATATTTATAATATTTCAAGTAACAAAGCAAAAAATGCCTCTTTAGAAACAAATTTGCAAAAGATGCTATTTCAAATCTTGTCACTGTTGGCACAAAAACTGAAATTATGTCGCTTTAGGTCTAACCACCTTAAAAAATCCGATAGAACTAAACTGGCTGATTATTTCAACGTAGGTCGCAGTTACCTCAATAGATGGTACTATTTTGGGTCGTTTTATTACCTAAACTCTGATTAAAGATGCGAATAATTTTGTATAATTTTGTTTTATGTAGGTGCTCAGAATGAAAAAGAACCACTTTTTTCTTTCATTATCTATATTTTATTAGTACCACTAAATACTCAATATTTGATCAAAAAATGTTAAGCAGTTAATTACAATTATTAGAACAATTTACGAGATCTGTCTAAAAAGTATCCGACCTTCATTTTTCGGCGCATAGTAGCGATGCTATGTTATGTTGGGAATGGGATGTTAATACACTGCAATCTAAAAAATCTATTGTGCCCCCTTCTGTCGCCAATGCACCAAGGAAATGTCTCAATGTCTATAACGACCCTTCCAATCCTATTTTCTCAAGGAAGTGTAGGATTTGAAGTGGCTTCAAGTTAGGTAAATCTCCCTCTTCTATTTGATATCCTCCTAGATATAGTGCCCTTGGATTCTTGAGTGCCACAGCCAATTTTTTTTAGTTCATAGTTGCCTACTGGGCGTCGTGTGACTTATAAGTGTACTACATCAAATTTTGTCAAAAGCTTGGTGATTCTCAAAGCGAAACAATTCGTAAGATTCAGCAAGTGTTTAGAGAGTAACACAAATTAAGGAGTGGTTCAACCAATTCAAAACGGGACGGACATTGGTGGAGAGAGATCGGCGTACTAGGAGGCTACGAACCCCCTTGAAATGCAGCTGTTGTTGAGAAAGGACAAACAGTGACAAAATAGTGATAGTTCTCCGCCGACTCCGTGATGCAGTCCGGCGCAAAAGACCAGTCCTTTGGATCGCTGGCAGTTGCATCACGACAATGCTCTATCTCATTCATCGCACATGATATAGAAACATGGAATTCCCGTAGTTTGCCAACCTCCCTACTATCCAGACATGGCTTCTTGCGACTTCTGGTTGTTTCCGAAATTGAAGACGCCAATGAAAGGATCCCGTTTTCAGAGTAGAGAAGAGATAATATAGAACGCGACGGCGGATTTGAACATTATTCCAAAAGACGCCTTCCAGAATGTGTTCGGTGGGCTAAGTGTGGGAAGGCGCAAGGGATTAAACTCCCAATTTCGTCATGTAAATAATATATTTTTACCTATGAAGGTATGAATGTAAAGTATGTGTGTACCTATAGAAAGGTTTTAAACTGAATTTAAAGTACATGAATGTAAGTATGTGTGTACTTATAGAAAGGTTTTAAAATGAATTTAAAGTAAAGTACCTAAGAAGGTATGAATGTAAAGTATGTGTACTTGTAGAAAGGGTTTTAAATAAATTTAAAGTAAAGTACCTATAAAGGTATGAATATAAAGTATGTTAGCGGCTAAATTGGCAGGTTGCGAAGCGTCGTTTGTTTGACACCTCTGCCCAATAGTTTTTAAAGTAAGTTTCCACATGACTTTTGTATCGTAGACTATGACGTGTATACCGTAATGGCCTCTTGAAGTTCAAGCGTGCCAGAGTTGGATTGAGAATATTTGTGCCCAAATACAAATTGTTAATATTAAATATTGCTGTGCTCTGACAAATTCATTATGTTGAACGACTTCAACAGGTCGGATACCTTTTTGAACAGATCTCGTAGATTCGATAAAATACATATTCCTAGATGAAATATAAATAAAATACTTACATAACGTTCTTCCAAATGTGGAAACATAAAATATTCAACCAGAAGAAACTGTACAAGAAGGAAACGTACATTAAATAGGCCAAACCATGGCAAAATCCGGCAGGTAGATAACCAGCAAGGTTGATTATTGCCATCGAAATGTAACCGAGAGCCAATCCAGATATCGAATGTATTAAAATAATTTCCTTAAAATAAAAACTTCATATAATAATAAATTAGACATTGAAGATCAACAGTTTTATCATTAAAGTTTATTATAACAAAATACTAATTTGAACACTTTTTTTATTAAAAGTTTATTTGTTATAACACTAAAATTTGTGTCGAAACACAAAACTGATGGATCTCTTTTGAACATTTTGAATATAAAGATGGATATAACCTGAGAAGACATCAGTTACTACAAATAAAGGGGTACATCGAAAAACTTGGAGACAGGCTGAATTTTTAATATTGTCTCCAGGAGTTTAAAAGGTAAAATCCCAAACTGACGTGCTCCCATTTGCTATTGAAACTCCTCCACTTTGAGAACACTTTGGAATTGATTTAGCTCGATTTCTATTGGTCGGAGGAAACAAGTATGACAACGAAATATGTAGCGCTCAAAATTTGCCACTATGTGTAGTTTGTTGCCAAAAAGTTGCCGAAGTTTAAAAAAGAATTCTAAATTTTTTACTATAAAAAAGTGATTTTTTCCAAAATATTGAAATATACAAGTTGTAGGTCATACGAAAAAAGTCTAATTAACATTACAGTTGTTAATAACTTATCCCAAAAGTTTATAAGTGACAGCGGATGAAAATTCGAGACGCATATGATATATTTTTCCGGGAATCGTCTACTGTTTCTTTCTATTTCAAGTCAAAATGCAGAAAAACTGATTTTCAGTAACTTCGGCGCCCTCTATCTTTTCGGAAACGAACTACAGATTAGTGATGGCGCGAGACGACAAGAGAGAGAGAGAGAGAGAGAGAGAGAGAGAGAGAGAGAGAGAGAGAGAGAGAGAGAGAGAGAGAGAGAGAGAGGCCTCTCTCTCTCTTCTCGTCAAGAATGCGCTTCTCTCATTTCGTCCCGTTTCTCTCATGACAAAAACATATATCAAATTTTAATTTGGAAAAGATATACTTAAGATGAATGAAAAACTGTAAAATTTTGAAGACAAACAAGAAATTTTTCAAGTAATTTGTCTCATTAGTACCCAAATGGGTAATAAGAAACACTTATAGAATCACCTCGGTGTCTCTCTGTCTGTCCATCACAGTCGTTTTACTCAAAGACAATTGAAATTTGAAGTAATCAGTGGCTTAAATTAGGCATTCACTAAAAGTTGATCATTTTGAACCCTGCATTTTTGTTTTCATTTCATTTTCAGTTAAATCAATTCAATTTTTTTTTTTAAATGGCGGATGACAGATGGAAAAATGCCAATTTAGGATTTTTTCTTTTGAAACAACAACCCATCAATAATTCAGCATGTATCCAAGTTTTTCAATCTCAACGACAATTTGATAGTACTAAGTACGAAATAAGAAAAATTTGTTTTATAACTTGTAAAATAAATGTATGCAATAAACACATCAGCAGATATAATAAAAATAGTAATTATCCCAATAAGAGGAATTAAAAACATCAAGTGCATTTGCCATAATTCTTTAGTATAGAACCGAATAAAATATTGCGTGTTTGTACTCACTTGTAATTCGAATGGTTCCGGAATCAAAAAATAAACGAACACAGTCAAAATAATGAAAAACACTGAAATTAGACACAGTATTGTATTAATTAGCCTAGACATTTCTTCAAATGAATCATTTTCATTACAGAGAATATACACTTCAATGTTCCTGGATTCAATAGTAGTAAGGCAATATCTAAAAGCAAACAATTCCGCATTACATTTTTTGTAATTAAGGGCAGTCCAATAATCCCTTTTATAATCCCTAACCATAGATTTAACTTTTATGCGCTACTACAACAAATTAACACCAATCACCAATAAGGTTATTTGGCAAAAGTAACAATAATTGCACCGGCACACAAAAAAAATGTGGTCAGTACTTTTGACCAGACCCACCTAAGGTTATGTATTTCGATGAGCTGAATCCGAATTTAAGGTCGGTTTAACCCATACACCTCCAAAATTTTGGGTAAATTGCAAAAAACCGCTAATCCGCTAAAAATTAGAACGAGGGGACCTCAGGGGTGATTCCATATAAATTTGGTCAAGATCTGATAATGGGATCTATGAGAAAATCAGCAATTTGTGATGGCATCTGTACGAATAAAAATGTACCACCTATCAATGCAATACTAGGAGGCATTTACAAAATTTAATTAATTTTTTACAGAATATATTTCTAATCTTTTTTTTTTCTTTAACAACGGTGAATTTTTAATTAAATTGCATGGTTCGTTGTAGGATTTGATGGGTGTCGTATTAGCAGTAATTTCATTTTTGTTGATGTGACATCCAGATTACAAATCTCAGTGCGTTGTCGTTTAGAGATGGTAGGTTAGGTTTTTCGGGTTTTCCCCACCTGTAAAGTCAAATATCAATCATCTTTAAGTCGCCCCGGAGCGCCACAGCAAATAATAATAATAATAATAATAATAGCCGTTCCTTCCCCACACAAGCTCAGTCGGCTTCAGAAGTTAAAATTTACTCGTAAAGGTGGTAAATTAGGAAGGGTATTATTATCTTTATAAGATATTGGAACGGCTTGCAGCTTTGTATATGAATCTAATCTAATGAATCTTTAATGAACCCTAATGAATCTTAATTATTCCTAATTAATTTTAACCTTAATTAATCATTGAATAGGTTATGCTAACGGTATCTCACGCGCGAAAGAAAATTTAAAGCTTCGCCAATCAGGTCCTACCTTTAATTTCCTTGGCTTCCTGACGCAGACTTCTCTTCTTGGCGCGTCCACCCTAAGGTGCAGGGGTCGTGGACTGTATTAAGGGCTGGTATTTGAATATTCGGGAATGTAAATTTGCGGGTTGTATCGAATGATCACAAAGCTTGAACACAGGTCTGTACTCTACGACATTTGAGGCGATACTGAGGTTCGCCCGATTGAACCGGTTGAATTTAAGAATCATTCTCTCCCACGCGGATGTGGTCTTTTACTAATTAAGGCAATACCGTCTTGGAAGTATAAGTAATGAGAATAATATATATGTGAAATATTACGTTTCATACTGGATGATAATTTTCAATTTAAACTTACATATACTAAATAAGTGAAGACTTAACAATCATAATTAATCCTACTTAATCCTAATTAATCATAATCAATCCCAATCCATCCTAATTAATCCGAACCAAGCCCAATTAATCATAATTAATCCTAATTAATCCTAATTAATCCTAATTAATCCTAATTAATCCTAATTAATCCTAATTAATCCTAATTAGTCCTAATGAATCTTAATGAATCTTAATGAATCTTAATGAATCTTAATGAATCTTAATGAATCTTAATGAATCTTAATGAATCTTAATGAATCTTAATGAATCTTAATGAATCTTAATGAATCTTAATGAATCTTAATGAATCTTAATGAATCTTAATGAATCTTAATGAATCTTAATGAAACTTAATGAATCTTAATGAATCTTAATGAATTCTAACGAGTCTAATGAACCCAACGAATCTAACGAATATAATGAATCTCCAAATACACTATAAATATTTTATTTGTAAAAATTTCATGCTTTAAGGTGTGATGTTTCCGAAATGTTGAAATACTCACTCATTTGGTGGTATAATGTCGCCGTCTAAAATCATATTGTGTTCTTCGTCATGTTCAATTTTCGATGAATTGTCATCTTTGGGCAAAAAAAATCTTGTCAATGCAATCTAATTTCTTGGGAGATTTTCCATCTAAGCATCTTGAGGCAGTTGTATTAAAAATATTGCTTCCATAACAGCAATAGGATATCGCTTGTGTAAACATTACATTAGAAAATAATAAAAGTAGGCTCTTTTTGGAAAACATTATTCAAATATTAATCTGGAAATAAAAATCTAATTTAGTACAAAGCATGAATTTTTCTGTAATTGTATTTACGTAGTTTTAAAATCGATTGTGACATAAAATTTTTGTTGGCCTCTCAATATGTGGTTTAGGATCTCACGTTAACAATTATGTCTCGTTCAACGTATCAAAAATGTTTAATGAGATGATGTATCATTAAAAAGTTCATAATGCATACATAATTTGATATATAGATAAACTCAAGTCGCTAAACACAAATGCACCAAGATATGTTGGTTAGTATAACTTCACAAATTAATTATGTAAAGCAGGAATGATAAGAGTCCTAGATTGAGTCCTTGGGGAATTTAATGAAAATACTGCGATTTATATCCATTGTATGAAAAAAATGTGTTCTATAGGGTCGACTATATAAATAGTAGAAATCTACACTTCAAAATCGGGTGTTTTTGAATTCTTTTTTGTTCAATTGTTATTCAAAGTAGGTTTTTGCGCTTCGAATTTTCATCGCAAAATGACATTAAATGAAAGTTTGTTAACTAGAGCTAGAGCAACAGAATTAAAAATGCTCTCCTAATTTTAATTAGCTATAATATAGAGTAAACCACAAAAAAATATGTCTAAAGTAGGTCATGACCGACAAAGACGGAGATACGTGTCATGTTCGTGATAATTACGCACGTCTCTGAATTAAATCCAAACTATTAAAACTGTTAAAATAATAGAGAAAAAATCTGTTTTTATTTTATTATTTATTTAACATTGATATTGATGAATTTTCTATAAAATTACTATTTCTGTAATGTATCACACGTGATACATTTCTTATTTAAATGGATTCATCCAGTAGGAACAAAATTCCTAGTTTTATATTTATGAATAGTTAGCTTAAATGACTTAGTTGCTTTTATTATTTTTATTGTTCTTATAATATTCAAAAATTAATAAAAATCAGCAATAAATAATTAATATAATTTGAAAGTTGCAGCCCTTCTTGATCAATATTTAATTTTTCACTTGCTACAGCATTGCCATTATTCTAGCTTTGTTCGTTTGGAGTTAATTTGACATATGACGTTAACTGTACAAATTCGCAAGAATAATGAGTATAATTTTATCTACTGTTAATTTTTACTGTATTTTGTTGTCAGTTTTATCGATATGGCAACATTTCAAAATAAAGCCTATTTGGAACACTTCACAATTCACAATCTACCTTATCCCTGAAATTCAATTTGTAAGTCCCCTTTAAACATAAAATGACATGTCCCAGCGATTTTCAAACACTCCCCAAAGAAAAAAAAATTCAAGGTGAATAAGTATGAGACCCTGTATATTAAGTGTAAATATAGTAAAATATGTAGCATGTCTATTCAATTTCATGATTTTTTTTATGATCAATTTGGCAATATTTCATGCATTAATGACAATTTTATTGGATTCGAACATTTACGAAATTTAACTGGTTTTTAACTATACATGGTGTCTCGTTAAGAATGAAGCACATAACAACCGAAGATTCTCTGATTAAAAATAAGACGATTAAACGAGATTTTCTTATATAAAAATTACTTATTTCCGAAATACGGGGTTGAAAATTTAAAAATTAATAATATTTTTATATCTTAGTATAATTTTACTAAATTCGGCATACATTTTCGGTGTCATAAGATACACCTATCAGCAGAAGATCAGTTAAATAAATTTTGTCATTGGTGTACGGCATGGATAAGTAACACCTTTATATTTTAAGCCACTACCCAAAAACTTATTTAGACTATAAATTTTAAATTTTTTGATATTATTTTAAGGTAGTTCACTCGCGACAGTCGTACACAAAAATATCGCCCTATGGTGAATACCAAAAGCTCTAGATTCTCAATGCTAAAAAAAAGTTATTTTTGTAAGAGACTGTACACAACACATGTAAGCTTATATATATAGCGGATTCTACTAGAGACCAGCAGGCTTTTGCTGTTTTTAAAGCATATAAAAAACATTATAGTAGTCATCTAAAAATTAGTAAAAAATCAGCATACGATAATTTTATAATTAATTCCGGGAATACATCCAAAGCTTGTTGGCAAATAATTAATTTTGAAAGGAATCATAGTCATACTATTTCCAATTTTACAAACATATCATCAGAAAATTTTAATGATTTCTTTACTAGCGTAGCTGACAATGTAATAAAGTCTCTTCCTACCGCCTCAAATATTGATTTACTTAATTTTGAAAATTTTCCTGCCCCGTGTAGTTCTTTTTTTCTGTACCCAGTAACTGAATTGGAAATTTTGAATACGATTAATGCCTTAAAAGACACAAACTGTGTGGACACTCATGAGATAAATAGTCGGATTATAAAGGAAACAACTGAAATAATGTTGGTACCACTAACCAATCTTGTAAACGTAATCTTCACAACTGGAGTATTTCCAGATGTTTTTAAAAACTCAAAAGTTATTCCGCTTCTAAAAAAAGGAGATAGTTCTGTTCCTGATAACTATAGGCCAATATCTATAACCAGCGTTTTCGGTAAAATAGTAGAAAAGGTTATGAAGCAAAGGCTCAATGATTATTTTAATAAAAATAATTTCTTTTGCGAATCACAATATGGTTTCCGTAATGAACGCTCCACTATTCAAGCTGTTCTTAATGTTGTTAGTGGCATAGTTGAGGGCCTAGAAAGAGGTGAATACACTGCAATTACGCTATGTGATCTCTCGAAGGCCTCTGACTGCGTCTCTCACAACATTCTGCTGAAAAAACTACATTATTATGGAATTAGAGGTGTACCCCTGTCACTCATTTCATCTTATCTGAAAAATAGATCGCAGGCTGTATATTTTAATAATACCTCATCTAAGTTTAAAATGATCACACATGGAGTACCACAAGGTTCTGTCCTTGGGCCTCTACTGTTCATTATATACGTCAATGATCTAATTAAATATATGAACCCTTGCAAAACTATTCTATTTGCCGACGATACGACCTTTATCTCAACTGGAAAAGATCAATCTTGTTTATTAAATGCTACTAAGTGCAGTATTGAATTGTCAAAAAAATGGTTCTGTGCCAATCAACTTATGCTAAATGATACAAAAACTCAAAACCTTAATTTTGGATCTGGTAGTTCATCATCGGAACTTGACAGTGTCAAATTGTTAGGTGTAAAACTTGATAGTAATCTATCATGGACCTGCCATATCGATATGATTGCTAAAAGATTATCTAGTTTGTTGTTTTTGCTTCGGCGTTTGGCCTTAATTACCAATTTTCAATGTTTAAAAATGGTATATTTTTCATTGTTTCATTCCCAGATAGGTTACGGAATTATTCTTTGGGGTAATTCATCAGAGGCAATGAAATTATTTCGTATGCAAAAGAAAGCCATAAGAATCCTAGCGAATGTTGGGTAC